ATCAGGCATATACTCAAAACGGAATATCATTTTGCCTGTTATAATAGGTGATATTTCTAATATAGATATGACATCAGAGATTCGTTCATTTATACGGACAAAGATTAAATCAAAGGAGGTTTTGTGGTACCCGTTGCCTGGTAATTTTTATCGTAACATAAATTCATTTAATGAGCAACTTGAAGACTGGCTCCGACGATAGTATTCTGCGTTTAACATAAACAAAATATTATTAACTGTTTTATAATACTGCACGCTTGTAAAGTCTCTTTGCATTTGATAATCGTATGGTTTTTATAAACTATATACACGTACCGTACACGACTGTTGTCAATTCATGAAATTATGTTCCTTTTTCTATAATGAACGTTTGTATTATAAATTCGATATATACATTCTTCACAGGCAATAAATGAAGGGCTGTTTGCTACATAGCTCTCGCTTAGCAACTCGTTAAAATCTTTATAAGCCACTGAAGGGATAAGCGGGGAGAATATATGCTGACTTCTCTCACAATGAATCAACACTCGCTTTTAAAGATCTTGTACTAAAAAACTTCTAATTTCAGCATTGCTGTTTTAAAAAATATTCGAAAAAAAAAAACAGCTGTAAAATCGTTTTCATATTGTACAATTAGCTGCATGAAAATTAAAATGCCAACCAACACCACTTCATAGTGTAACTGTTGATAATGTTGATATTGTTATGTTTTTAATTATTTTGATTTTATCTATATGTACTATAATTAATGTCAGCAAGATACATGAAAATATCTTAGCTTAACATTAAAGAATATATGAATTTTCGTTTGCATGTACAAAAAAAAAAGAATTCAAATTTTTTATACATGTAGATCTACAATTATTGTTCTTGTTTTTTTTACAAATGTTACTGCAATATGCTTTTTTTCTTTGTAATTGCATTATTGTAAAATCAGAAGGCCGTACTGATAAGTATATACATGTTCTCTTTTTTGTGTGTGTAAACTTTGTATATATTACCTTCTATAAATAAAAAGTTTATTATTATCATGCATATAAGCGCTTCTGTCTATATGTATCAAAGCGCGTCTGCACTGGGCCATGCATATATATATAGTAGTTATATAAACACATTAATAACAAGGTTAAAATATGATTATATGTACGAGTACACATTTATACTCATATTTGCAAATAATATATCTGCACCCGCCCCCTCTACGTCGCAGTTAAATGTACCAATGAATAGTTAAATGTCATTCTGTATGAAAGTGGAGTTAACTTCCAGATTCCAAGTTGTTTTATAGTTTGAACAGCTCACACTCAACAAATATTCTAAATGACAATAAACAGATACAGTAAGTTACAGAAAACTTTTAATTGACCCTTTTATATCATATCTGTACATGATATTTGTCCATGAATCAAAAGGACTCTCGAATATTATGTTTCTATAAAATGTTTTATACGATAGTTTAATATTATACCATATAATATTATAGCAATCAATTGTAGGTAAGTGTTTTATATTCAACAATATTCACAAAGTAGTGAGACTAGTGTCACCAGAAAGTGGTGGGAGACAACACACAAGTATCTTATCAATTTATAATTGGTTCATTTCAACATTTCAGATGAAATCATATAAAAAGGAAGTAAGTTGTTGAAGTTATCAAGATACAATTCACAATATGTTAGAACATGTATTTAACACTTAGATGTCAAGATTAAACATACAGTGAAACCTCTAATATGTGAACACTATATGGGGGACAATTATGATGTACTGTTCCTTTATGTATTTATTTCCAACATGAGGTTAATTTATATACCTTTTAAAGATAATCTGAATACAAGCATAATACATGCGTGGAAAACAGAATTTAAATCAAAAATACCGTAAAGATCATATGTCTTTATAGCGTAACACTCTCAATACATTTAGGTACTATAGCACAGAGGTAAAACCAACAACCCACCTTAAGCTTGGCACATACCCAACTTACGCCTACTTTACTATCACTTACAGCAAGTGAAGCTCATATACAGTAGGAGTCAAATGTTCCTTGCACAATATATAATATGAACTCTTCTTTACATGCTAACTTAATAAGAAAAGTAAATTTGACAAGTGCTTTTAATAAATAAAGCAAAGTATTAGTAATTTACCAATTTGTTTATTCTTAATACATACTTGTTTAATAAAACATTTACTGCATTAAAACAAATTTTTTGTGGTAATTTACGAATCATGACCTAAATGTACTGAATTTGTGTAATGGATTTGCCCAGCTTCCATTTTGGAACAGTCCATTTCAATGTTTAGGCTGTTTCAATATCAAAACACAGAAAGTGAGCACCACACCATGTACAGTACAGCCTGGTCACACTTGCCTGGCTCTATACTGGTGGTAAAGGTTAATGACATTTGGTACCAGCAGAGAAAGGGCTGAAGTTATATGATGGCTTTAACTGAAGGTGAAGGACACATGTCACATTATGTGAAGTACTTCATACTCCAACCAGTCCCTATATACAAGAGTTAACCTACTACAACAAGAAACTGTCAAAATGACACTCATACCCCCTTGTCCCAACCATTGATGAGTAATAATTATAATTAACCAATAGAAAATTTCAGAGAAAACTTATACATTTAAATTATAAAATAGTGAGATTTCTTTTTCTTTGTTCCTGTGTTTTCCTAAAAAAGGACAAGCAGTTTATAGCAAACAAAAAATGAATGTGCTTCAATATTGCTTTACTAAACTTCTATAAGTAGACCAAAAAGGATTGAAGCCCTTTATCTGGAAAATATTCTAAAACCACAAAGAAATGCATTAATTTGCAAGCAAAATTCTAAGAAGTATACATTACATAGATATATAAATACAAGTGCATTTATTGTTGCAGTTTTTTAAACATAAATAAGAAGACAAAGTTCCAAAATCATTCCAGCCATATCAGAAGTATGCATCTTTTACAATGAAAATACTTAGAAATAACGAAACATTTCCTTTTTAAATGGCAAGCCTGCTCTCTCTCTCGAAATCTGACTGAACAGTGAAGTTAACTGTACATTTTGCAGCCTATATAAGGTGTGCATACCTTAAAATATATTAACCAAACTATGCTAACTTACTTATATTTGAAACTGAATGTTGTTTTTTTTATATAATTTTTGGGGCAAATTCAAAATATAAACTGTCTGAATTGCCAAGATAATGCACTGGTTGCATAGGTAAAATCTAATTGCTTAAAAGTAAAAATAGATGTGTAATATTTCTTGTCCTTGTAGCAAAAAACTGCTTTTCTCGGCACTGTGATTATATATGTTGTAGCAATTCTCTCAGATATGATGACTATTACTGTCAAGTGTATTTTTTATATCAAACCTTCACAGTGTTTGTGGGGTTTTTATATCATTATTTGAGCCGCGTCACAACAAAACCAACATAGTGCGTTTGCGACCAGTATGGATCCAGACCACCCTGCGCATCCACGCAGTCTGATCAGGATCCATGCTGTTAGCTATCAGTTCCTCTACTTGTAATAGGGTTTGAAAGCGAACAGCATGGATCCTGATCAGACTGCGAAGATGCGCAGGCTGGTCTGGATCCATGCTGGTCGCAAACACATTACGTTGGTTTTGTCATGACGCGGCTCATTTAGTTTCTCTTCAATCTCCCATTTCTACTTCTTCTATCATAAGACTACTACTGTCTACTGCGGAGGAATCTGCCACTGATGAATCTTCAAGCTGTGATGTCAGTCTCATCATAGGTGGAGGCGGTAAGTCCTTCGAATCATTGTGATCATCTAATGAAAAACCAGGCACTCCTGTTGGAGCCATAAACACAGGACTATCTTCTACATCTGAAATTTTCAAAAAAATAAAAATAAATATGAGCCGCGTCATGACAAAACCAACATAGTGCGTTTGCGACCAGCATGGATCCAGACCAGCCTACGCATCCGCCCAGTCTGATCAGGTTCCATGCTGTCTGCTTACAAACGCTATAACAAGTAGAGAAAGTGATAGCAAACAGCATGGATCCTGATCAGACTGCGCGGATGCGCAGGCTGGTCTGGATTCATGCTGGTCGCAAACCCATTATGTTGGTTTTGTCGTGACGCGGCTCATATATATTACTTTCAACTCCCAGTGAAAATTAACCTGTCTGTCTGTAGACTATGCTTAATGAGGATCCCTGCCAACATGAGGGCACAAAAAGCAGCTTCGCTGTTGAGTACAGACCCTGCACACATCACCAGTCATACCCTTAAAGGGTTAATTTGAAACACAAGGTGGTGTGAAGAATTTACCTTGATGCAATTTCCACAGATTATTAGCCAAACTTGCAAAGATATGAATTTTTAGCCAAAGAAAATTTACCTTGATACATGTACTGTACTTATGTTACTATATATGGTAACAAAAAGTAGCTTGTCTTGTCACCATATTGGCCACTATTCTATGCTATGTTAATGACCTTATTTTTCATATGTTTACCTTTGATATCATTGTCCGCTGTCAGACAATGTTGGACAAAATGCTTCCTTTACAAGCAGTAATATTAGTAGGAAAATAAATTTCATCAAGAGTAAATTATTTCAGTCAAAAAATTCAGTTTTCTTTCCTATTGAGGGCATTTAAACTTATCCTTTTAATCAAATAGTGAATAGGAAAAAAAACTATTATAATAAAAGTACATGTACATTAATCATAAAATAATAAACATCTAAGAATAGAAAAAAATGACACAGACTTTTAACATTACAGGGCTAATTTTACATAGTACAGCTTCATTTGTTGGAAGAAAAAATTTCAAGTATTGCATAAGCATTAAAGATACCTACATTTGCTTGAGGAAAATCATTTTGTAAGGAGAACTGTCATACATTGATTTGTTTATTCCTTAACTGCTAAAGTGTTCCGGAGTAACCAACAAGACAAATATCCGTTAGACCCCTCCTGTTTAATGGGGGAGATATTACTTCAGGCATGTCTAGTTGTAAAAGTTGTTTAAGTCTATCGATAAATTATGTTTATTGGTAAAAATGATGCTTTAATTTTTTTGTTGGTTGAATTTTTGAAAATAGGGGGATTTCAATCCCACTGCGGGAGATCGGGACACACGCTAAAAAATCAGGGGGTTTTTGTCCCCCGCGGGGGATATGGCATGTTTGCTAGTAACCTTATACAAAAGTTCTATTTATCATGCCACTGGTGTCAAAAGTAGACTGTGTGACTGATGGACAAGGGTTAATCTATATGTTTATACCTAATGTCAATCATGAGATAAGCTTTTCCGTGAGTTTGATCATCAGTAAATCCCACTTACCATCACTAGGTGAGAGCTGTAACATCAGAGATTCTACAAGATTTGACAACATTGTTGTAGAGAAAGCATCGTCTCTTCTAATTGCTAGAGCCTATAAGATAAAACATACATGACAGAAATAACAATATGCTTTAAATCTATCATGGTTAAATAAAATGTATAGAATTTCTAATTTTAAAAATGATTGAACAACATTTATATATCATTTTTATTAAGTCAAATATATATTTTAGTAATATAACCCAGTTCAAAACTTTCATATATTTTGATTTTTTTCCTTGTTTTTTGGTTAAATGCCGCTGAAACACAATAGAGGTCATTTGGTGACTTTCTAGCTTATTGATATCAAAAGACATCAGATGCTTTTCTGAATTATTTCAGGCACAAGTGGGCACCAGAGTTGAACCACCAACATTCTGTAAGCTAGCTGGATAGTTTCTTCACATAAAAGAGTTACCAACCTTATGAAAATAATCTACTGCCTCGATTGCTTCCCCTTTTAAAGCTAACACAATGCCTATAGCAGAGTATGTGGAGGGACTCTGAGGGTCTAAGATCCGAGCCTGCTGGTGATACTCTAATGCTTCATCAAGTTTTCTGTTAAAAAATAGATATTTGAATTATTTCATCTCCTGTGAAAATGGGTAAGACTGTAGGACTTTTGTACTACATCAAACAATACGCAACAATACAAACATTGATATGAAATCCTTTTCAGTTTTTAACTGGATTCTTACCAAGCTATATTCATACTAGATTATATACACATGAAAATAGTTCACACAAAACCAGTATCTTTGTGATAGCAAAGTAAGAACATAGGATTGAACATCTTACCTGAGTTTTCTACATGTGTGTCCAAGATTGTTCAGTAAGGGCTCCCACTTCTCTGGTACACTTGTTTGTTTTTCACACACCTGAATTCTCCTCAATGCATCCTTGAAATATGTTTCTGCCTTCATCCACCTTTAATGTAAAAATGCACATGTATTATTCTTTCATATATATAAAACTTATGCAGGTTAAGTTTTGTTTTCTGTTTTTGTATTATACTGTAAAGGAAAGTTTTCATTCCAGGAAAAACCTAAGGTACACCATCATGCATTCTTCACAATCTGTCACCCAAGTAGAACCTAGGACCTTCTGTAAGCTAGCTGGATAACTTCCTGTTACCTGAGTAGAACCTATGACCTTCTGTGAGCTAGCTGGATAACTTCCTGTTACCCGAGTAGAACCTACGACCTTCTGTGAGCTAGCTGGATAACTTCCTGTTACCCGAGTAGAACCTACGACCTTCTGTCAGCTAGCTGGATAACTTCCTGTTACCTGAGTAGAACCATGACCTTCTGTGAGCTAGCTGGATAACTTCCTGTTACCTGAATAGAACCTACGACCTGTAAGCTAGCTGGATAACTTCCTGTTACCTGAGTAGAACCTACAACCTTCTGTGAGCTAGCTGGATAACTTCCTTGTTACCCGAGTAGAACCTAGGACCTTCTGTAAGCTAGCTGGATAACTTCCTGTTACCCGAGTAGAACCTAGGACCTTCTGTAAGCTAGCTGGAATAACTTCCTTCACCCGAATAGAACCTACGACCTGTAAGCTAGCTGGATGACTACCTGTCACCTGAGTAGAACCTATGACCTTCTGTAAGCTAGCTGGATAACTTCCAGTCACCTGAGTAGAACCTACGACCTTCTGTAAGCTAGCTGGATAACTTCCTGTTACCCAAGTAGAACCTACGACCTTCTGAAAGCTAGCTGGATAATTTCCTGTTCTCTTAGTAGAACCACTAGGTGTAAGCTGGGTGGACAGTTTCCTCCAAGCAAAGAATCATTGGCATGATTCAAATCCACAGTGACAAGGTCTAAGTATTTGTTAGTCAGCAACTTTTAACTGTTCAGCATCAGAAGTAAACCAACTACTTAACATCCTTACATAAAATGATTCAATATTTGTGAAGGCATTCTTCTGCATGGGGACTCTAACTAAAAGTGACTATACTGATCTTCCACATTGGCCCCCTGTTACATATTACAGCTTTATGATAGTATTTTGTATATGATAATATCTACAAGATACATTCCTCCTGATACAAGTTGGCAATTTTGTTACTTAACTTATTTAGCTGAACAATTTTGTCTCCATAGCAATGTCAGTTACCTCTAGCTAAACTAAATAGACTTGACAGCCTTGCAATCTGGACAAAATTAGTCATCAATTTTGGCAAAATATTCAAATCTAGTACTTACTGAATACAGTTTAGACCATAATAAAATGTCACTAGTTGCAAAAGTATTTATAGTAGCCACCAGAGTACACTAAAATGACTGAACAACTAGGTCAACAAGTGACATAGACTACACTAATATTCACTTACTCTTCATTTTGAAAGGCTATCACACCCATCTCATGTAGAACAAATGGATCATCTGGTGCTATACTAAGAGCTTGCCGGAAGAATCTCTCTGCTAACTTAGGATTGTTTGTTAGTCCATATTCTAGGCCAATATAAAGTGCTGGCAGGTGACATCTGTGAAAATAATTTAGTTGTTTAATATACTATATAAACGACCTATAAACAAGACTATTGTGATTCTTTACTTTATTTTTCACTTTATGAACATGTTTAACAAAAATGGGTCAAGACAGAAAAGGCCGGGTTGCATATGTATACAAAATATCATGAGGCTGTGATGTTACGAAAAAAAATTTCCATTGACCCATTAATGTCGAAAATTTAATTCAGTAGGTAAACAGGAAGTGGATTAGCTACACACCTTAAATCGAATCCCACAGTATGGGACCATGTGTCAATGCTGTATGCCAAATATCAAGAGGCTGTGATTAGTAGTTTCTGAGAAAAATGTTACGAAAATTTCCTACCATTGACCATTAATGTGAACAGGAAGTGGATGAGCTGCAGACTTGAAATCGAATCCCACAGTATGGGACCATGTGTCAATGCTGCATGCCAAATATCAAAAGGCTGTGATAAGTAGTTGCTGAGAAAACTGTTACGAAAATTTCCTACCATTGACCATTAATGTCAAAAAATCTAACTTATTTGGTTTAAACATATTTATTCAACAAAACATTTAACAAGTGAACAATATTTACAAAGTACATTTTGGGATTGGGCAGAAAGCTATAAAGCTTATAAATGTCCTCTCCCAAAGGTTGACCATTAATGTCGAAAAATCTAACTTATTTAACTAAGTGAATAAACAGGAAGTGGATGAGCGACAGACCTAAAATCAAATCCCACAGTATGGGACAATGTGTCAATGCTGTATGCAAAATATCAAGAGACTGTGATAAGTAGTTGCTGAGAAAACTGTTACGAAAATTTCCTACCATTGACCATTAATGTAAAAAAATCTAACTAATTTAACTAAGTGGATAAACAGGAAATGGATGAGTGACAGACCTGAAATCAAATCCCACAGTATGGGACCATGTGTCAATGCTGTATGCTAAATATCAAGAGGCTGTGATAAGTAGTTGCTGAGAAAACTGTTACGAAAAATTTCCTACCATTGACTTTTAATGTCAAAAAATCTAACTAATTTAACTAAGTGGATAAACAGGAAGTGGATGAGCGACAGACCTGAAATCAATCCCACAGTATGGGACCATGTGTCAATGCTGTATGCCAAATATATCAAGAGGCTGTGATAAGTAGTTGCTGAGAAAACTGTTACGAAAATTTCCTACCATTGACCATTAATGTCAAAAAATCTAACTAATTTAACTAAGTGGATAAACAGGAAGTGGATGAGCGACAGACCTGAAATCAAATCCCACGGTATGGGACAATGTGTCAATGCTGTATGCCAAATATCAAGAGACTGTGATAAGTAGTTGCTGAGAAAACTGTTACGAAAATTTCCTACCATTGACCATTAATGTTGAAAAATCTAACTAATTTAACTAAATGGATAAACAGGAAGTGGATGAGCGACAGACCTGAAATCAAATCCCACAGTATGGGACCATGTGTCAATGCTGTATGCCAAATATCAAGAGGCTGTGATAAGTAGTTGCTGAGAAAACTGTTACGAAAATTTCCTACCATTGACCATTAATGTCGAAAAATCTAACTAATTTAACTAAGTGGAAAAACAGGAAGTGGAATGAGCGACAGACCTGAAATCAAATCCCACAGTATGGGACCATGTGTCAATGCTGTATGCCAAATATCAAGAGGCTGTGATAAGTAGTTGCTGAGAAAACTGTTACGAAAATTTCCTACCATTGACCATTAATGTCAAAAAATCTAACTAATTTAACTAAGTGGAATAAACAGGAAGTGGATGAGCAACAGACCTGAAATCAAATCCCACGGTATGGGACAATGTGTCAATGCTGTATGCCAAATATCAAGAGGCTGTGATAAGTAGTTGCTGAGAAAACTGTTACGAAAATTTCCTAGCATTGACCATTAATGTCGAAAAATCTAACTAATTTAACTAAGAGGATAAACAGGAAGTGGATGAGTGACAGACCTGAAATCAAATCCCACAGTATGGGACCATGTGTCAATGCTGTATGCCAAATATCAAGAGGCTGTGATAAGTAGTTGCTGAGAAAACTGTTACGAAAGTTTTTTTCCCCGCCCGCCCGCAGCCTGGACGCCCGCCCGCCGCCCAACATTCACCATACTATAACCCGGATTTGCACCAGTGCAACCCGGCCAATAAAATGATTTTTCTTCAACATCTAAGAAATTGTTCAAGTAAACAACATTTGTTTTATTTCAATTTCCCGAAGGACCATGAACTGCGCTTTGTAGATGAGAACCAGTCAGCTATAGGCGGAGCCATTCAGTACTATGTTGGTTCCCATAATTCAAAGCAGGGCGTATTTACACACGGCAAAGCTGGTAAGCCACATTTGAATTTGTCGAAAAATTTTGTAAATGGAGTAAAACAGCGATAATCTTTATGTTTAATTTACCTGTTGCCTTGTTTATACGAGGGTTGTCCAAAAAATTCGTGCACTGCAGTTATTGTCGTGAGAGTTATTAATAAAAACAAATGAATTATATATCACTTGAAGGAGAAATCTGTCTCAAATAAGAAAACAAAAGAAAAAGCCGAGTAACCGGCGTGTCGTGTAAAAGAATGGTCATTGAGTTACCTTAGTAACGTAATACCGGCGCACGACAAAAATTGGGTAAGTTCATTACTGTCATTGTATTTATTGTGTGTTGCTTATAAAGTGGTATTTGCTTTTTATGTTATAATTTGTTTTACTGTCGACAGTGGAATGATTGATGCAAAGTATTGTGTAGTTTTTATTGTTTTTATGCAACGTACATGTAGCATATTCCACCAGTGCAGGAATATTTTTGATGCGCCGGCATTACGGACAGATGTCTGCGGTTGTCATCGTCTACCGACTCTCTCTCTTTCTTCTACAGAGCATTTGTGCCATTTAAAAACCAGCCTTCGTGACACTGAACTTGTCCCGCTTGCCCTTTTAAGTTCTTTGTAGGTATCTGTTGGTGTTTTACCAATATTTGCACCAAATTTAATGATCGTTCGTATTTCCAGACGTTTAGCGACTTACCTTTTCACGTAATTACAGTATTGACGACAACATATAAATGTTTGTTAACGGCTGTTACAATAAGGCAAATGACTTCATATTTTCTAGTGACGTTAGGAATACGTACACACACTTTCCTCTGAATTTTAACGTTAATATATAGTGTTAAAAGAATACCTTGATGCATCAAAGTAATGAACAAACCCAATTTTTTGTTGTGCGCCGATATTACGTTACCAAGGTAACTACACGACATGCCAGTTACAGGTTTTTTTCTTTTGTTTTCTTATTTGAGATATATCTCCCCTTCAAGTGATATATAATTAATGTTTTTCTATCAATAACTCTCACGACAATAACTGCAGTGCACAAATTTTTTGGACAACCCTCGTATTGACGCTGAAGTTTAAAATTGACCATCGTCGCAAAGAATTATATCTTCTTTGTCGATGGACCAAAGGATTATGTAAAAATATTGGAAATGGAATAAAATACATGGTGATGTTGATGGTAGGTGTGCAGATTTTTTCCAGCGAACATTTTTATCTTGTGTATTATTATAGATGTTGAAATATGAAATTTTTTCGAAACGGCTTATATTAAGTTTTTTGATATATATGATCAGTACATGTGCTTGGATTTCAAAAATATACATTTTATTTTGATTTTAAAGGTGCTTTGAGCTCCACACCCCAAGTGTCCGTGTTTTTTTAGTCCAGAAGAAATTTAGAAAATTACAGGCACGCAGTTACCTAACAAGGGCCCCTGAATTTATTACATATACACAACTATATTTTTTGTTTTGTAGAATGTTAATTAACATGAATCTCTTGAAATCGCCAACAAATAATGTAGAAAAGAGTGCCTATAACTAAATCTCCATAGTGAAGAGCAAACAATAATTACCACAAATCTAAATCCAATGAAACTTAACTATGTCTACACAGTTAACAAGGCATCATTAACTATTGACCTGCTGAACTTCATAAATGTACTAGTACAGATTCCACTTTTGGAACTGCCCATTGTCAAATTTGGGAATATCTAGATGAAAAATTGAAGATGGTCAGCTAACAGTATAGAACCTGGTCAGACTGCAGGGACCTGGCTCTATACTTATGTCAATTAATTCATATAAATTTCTTCCCCTTATACAAAGAACATACTACGGTTTCAAATTCAAAGCATAGTGAATTATAAGGGATGAAGGCAAATAAGTCAATAAAGACATGAACATACCCTTTCATGAGTTGAGCTGCTGTAAAGTATGCTGCCATGGCTTGATCATGTTCATTACCAGTAGCGAAGGAGTGGCCAAATGCCAACCAGGCAGGTCCATATGTTCTTTCTAATGTGGTAGCTTTACTGCAATAAAATGTTTCATACTTTTGAACAGTTGTGTATTCATATTATAGGATTTTTTAAAGAGTATGCTAGGATCACAAACACTCAACTCACCCAGTTTGATTTGTTCTAGTAAATCCATCAGAGAAAAATACAAGTAATACATCAAAGTCCTCCAACAATGTTTTTTGCATAATAGTTTAGATATATTCATTTTAGCTTCAATGAGATGAAAAGTTATTCAGCTTATATTTATGCGCCCCTCTGGGTTATGGGGCATCATAAATTCTTTTATTTTCTCCCCTTTTGATATGGCATCACATTTTGATGATGGAAAGTATACCAAGTTTGAAATGAATACCTTTGGATTGGACCTTAACAAAAAAGTCTGCGAAAGTGTGCCTCATGTATTTTACCTGAGATATCTACGTGCGGCCTCTTTCTGGTCTATAAGGAAATAGTAACAACCTACAGCAAACCATGAAACCTGCAAAAATATCATAGAAACTGGTACATTTTTTCTGATTGTTTCACTCCACTTTATATATAACTGTTTGAAACAAAATTCAAGGTTATTTTGATATTTTTCATATCTTTCTTTTTCTTTTTTTTTTTCATTTTACTTAACTTGTTAACTTCTTTCTATTTTCATTTTTTCATTTTACTTAACTTGTTAACACCAAGTAGCTTTTGATCTAATATTGGAAATGGAATAAAAAACATGGTGATTTTGATGGTACATGTAGGTGTGCGGATTTTTAACTGCCAAGGGAAAACTGTGTTTTTTTGTACACTTGCTTCAATAAAAGAACTTAATCACTGCAGGGACTCAACCCGGAAAAGGTGAGAAAAAGTTATTCAAAGTACCAAACTTAAACAACCCAGCCAAAAGAGATCAAAATTATTGTCTAAAGGTTCACTCTATTATTGTATCTTGTTTGAAAGCCTGTTTTTTAAGCCAATTTAACAACCTTACTGGATTTCCTGGATAACTAACCAGTTATAACCAATTTCCCTACAAGCGACTGACAATTATTTGAGTAAGCAATAAGAGGCAGATGACAATTAGACTCAATGTCAGAGTTCAATTGTCATGACAATTTTTTTCCTGCCCAAGGATCAAACCAGTGACTGTTGGATTACAAATCTGATGTTCTTTATTAAACTAAGCCAGTAAATTTATTATAACAGTTATATGGAGACAACAGATGCTGCTTCATGTTTTATTTCAGACAAAAGTACACATTAAGATAGAAAAGCCAACCTTGCAAGTATTCTTGCTGACTGGCCTCCCCTCTTAAAAATAATTAGATGTCTGAAACAAGACTAACACTAACAAATGAAGGTGTATAAACATAATTCAAGTTGAATTCCTTTATGAATAAGCGTTTGAAATGAAAAGAAATACTTACTGGCTTGTTAGGGTACAGATCAACTAATTTATGGGCAAGATAAAATAAACCTGTAAGAGAGAAAACAATGAAATGAAAATAAAATAATTCTTAACTCAAGAAATACTAATAAATAATCATCTTTTCTATTTAGATGTGCAAGGATTAATGGTAAGGGCACTTTAACAATGTCTGGTCATATCCAGACATCTGACCGACAAAACTTCTCGACAAACATACAATATACAAGTACAGTCTAACTTGCCCATGCGACCACGTGTATTAAGCGACTTTTGTCTTAAACGACCACTTTAAATTCCCCCCGATCATTTTCTCTCTATATCTTTAATGTATTAAGCGACTTTTGCTCAACGCGACCAGCGACCGCTAATTAGTCACCTAATTGACATCAATCTTTTCATTAAACGACCACTTTTACCTGTCAAGTAATTGTGTTTTAAGAGAACGCCACCTCGTTATGTCACAAGTGTCAGCAATCAAAACACAACAATAAACGTGTGAAAAACTCTATTTCCCATACCGTTTTAGCGTTTGCAAATGAAGTTAAGTATACGCGTGACGTGTATTATCCAATAATATCGGATAAACAATGCAACGCTCCGCCCATACTGAGATGGTGTATACGCTTCGCTTGTTGACATTTAGACTGCATTGAATTGACCTTGAACTTGATTAGCCATTAAATTAATCGTAACAAATAGATGTAGTTTGTTTATTTCAAATGAAAAAAAGCACAACAGAAAACATCTTCACTAATAGGGTTTTCGTGTTGGAGACAAGGAAAAACAACGGAGAAGTTAAAAAATTCTGGAAAAAATGTCAAACATGTACGTAATGGATCAAAACTGTTTTGTCAATAAATATCAGAACGTTATTTTTACATTTGCATCCGTTTAGATTATCGGAGCGTACTTATTATTCAACATTTATGTAAAAATGAAGTTGAAAAACAATCCCATCGAATAAAAAAGATGTCATCTATAAATTTTGACTTTTATATCATGCTGACTGTCTTAAGAGACCGTTTCATTAAGGGACCGTTTTTGGTGTTTCCCTTGCCCGGTCGCTTAATACACGTTTGACTGTATATACTAATAGATAACATTATACAACTGCTCCATGTAAGCATACCAAAATTTTATGATGAAATCAAAATAGTTACTTCATTGCTTAAACTTTTCAGATATAACTCAGATTGTTATTTATATATACATATATACAGTCAAACGTGTATTAAGCGACCGCGCAAGGGAATCACCCAAAACGGTCGCTTAATGAAACGGTCTCTTAAGACAGTCAGCATGATAATAAAGTCAAAATTTATAAATGACATCTTTTTTATTCGGTGGGATTGTTTTTCAACTTCATTTTTATATAAATGTTGAAAAAAGTACGCTCCGATAATCTAAATGGATGCAAATGTAAAAAATAACTTTCTGATATTTATTGACAAAACAGTTTCAAGATCCATTACGTACATGTTTGACATTTTTTCCAGAATTTTTTAACTACTCCGTTGTTTTTCCTTGTCTCCAACACAAAAACCCTATTAGTGAAGATGTTTCCTGTTGTGCATTTTTTTTCATTTGAAATAAACAAACTACATCTATTTGTTACGATTAATTTAATGGCTGATCAAGTTCAAGGTCAATTCAATGCAGTCTAAATGTCAACAAGCGAAGCGTATACACCATCTCAGTATGGGCGGAGCGTTGCATTGTTTATCCGATATTATTGGATAATACACGTCACGCGTATACTTAACTTCATTTGCATACGCTAAAACGGTATGGGAAATAGTTTTTCACACGTTTATTGTTGTGTTTTGATTGTTGACACTTGTGACATAACGAGGTGGCGTTCTCTAAAAACACAATTACTTGACAGGTAAAAGTGGTCGTTTAATGAAAAGATTGATGTCAATTAGGTGACTAATTAGCGGTCGCTGGTCGCGTTGAGCAAAAGTCGCTTAATACATTAAAGATATAGAGAGAAAATGATCGGGGGGAATTTAAAGTGGTCGTTTAAGACAAAAGTCGCTTAATACACGTGGTCGCATGGGCAAGTTAGACTGTATACATGTCAGATAAACAGAGTAGAGTCTGTCAAATGAAATAGAAATGATCATATTTTTGACTCAAGAAAAGACTCTTATTGCCTCTGGCTGTAAAACAGAAAGTGACACACAGAATTTGTCTGAAAAAATATTACTGTAAAATTCCTTAATACTGAACTTAATAGAATCATGTAGATACAATAATAGATGTATACATACTATTAGATTTCTTTAATTCAACCATCACGGCTATATGAAGTGGTAAACATGTACTGTTGTATGGATCTGTATTCAATATTCTAAAAATAGACAAAATGAACATAAGTGAGTGTAACTCTACGTTTAAACTTACAAAAATGTGTAGCAAAGAAAGTTTAGTGAAACTAAAATAAATACCCAAGTTCTGCTTATGCAAAAGGTTACGTTCAAACACGAGCTACGATAACATAATTATATTGGTTCCTTTATTAAATGGTTGATTCCCGAAAAAGTTGTTACATAGAACGTCTCTGTTATTTAACACACATGAATAATGTACGTAAACGGAATAAAATGTTCTGGAATAAAATATTATTTGGCTATTTTAAGTAGGATTTTATCCATTTAGCAATGACTTTGTGCATGCGCCACACACTTTAAGACAATTTATTTCCATTTTTATTTCATACAAACATTTCGAAATTTTTTTTTTCATCAGATACAGTTTATACACTTTAACATTAAATCCAACTGCTTGTTAACCATATAGCATATTTTAAGAACAATAAATCACTTACTTGGTAGTTAATTTATAACATTCTCTAAAATCACAGTTGTAGTAATGTCTCTCTGCCAAGTTACATATAATATCTAAATTATCACTGAGCACTTCTAAACTTTCAGGTACTTTAGCTTCTTGTGGCCTGTCATACTGAAACAGATTCAAATATATCATTATTGTCATTCTGAAATAATGATATACCTAAATATTTGAAATTCTTAAAAATAATTTACAAAATGAGTTTGTAAAAATTTAGTATTTCTGTATCAAATTTGTTAAAACAAAACAAAGTTATTATAAATGTGAAATGTCCAGAACTTTGAAAGCATGACATTGAAGGTGAATGCCAAATCTGGGTAAAGATCACATTTTAATTTTCAAAGTTCTTGCCCAGTGATTATGCTGAATCTAATTATGAAAAAGTTTGTTGCACATATAATGAAGATGTCATTGCTAGGGTTACCACAAGAAGACATGGGTGGACTGATACAGGACAAATACAAGAAGAGCAAGAAATCAACCATTTTTTGGACATACCTTTTTCAGTTTATTTTCATACAGAAATTTAACAAGTTCCTCCTCCTCGCTGGGACACTGTAGGCTAAATGGTAGACTGTCTATCAACTCTCTCTCTACAATATATTAATTTAACAATATTGTAATATATGCAAATTTTCATATTTATTCTTTGTAGTACAATGTTGTATACATAGGTGAAAGTTGTAAACTTTGCTGGGGGTCAAGGGGGCTGCAAGGTATATTTTGTTTTGTTTACACTGACAGACATAATGACAATGTGATGGTTATGACTAAGACTCTCTATCTTTAACTGATCTTACTCTTAAAACTACATAAAATAAATTTCATAAAAAAAGAAATTGCTTCATTTCGTTCATAAAATATGTTTGATATCAACTCCCGTTCTTATTTTGGTGTCCAGACAACCAAAATGAGTTTTATTGGCCATAAATTCTACAACAGCATTGTGGCAAAATCGGCAGTACAATTTCTATTTGCATGAGAAACTCCGCCTTTGGGTCAGAAAAATCCCCAAAACATTTTTAAGTAGCAGTCCGAATTTAATGGTATATTTTCACATTATATTATGGATGTTTTATACAAATTCAATCACATTTATGAGGTGAATTCTTTAATTGTAAACAACAGGGCTAATGTACCAATGAAACTAAAATGGTAAAAGTTTGTTCGCACAAGAATATCTCACATTTGCTGTGATCCACATGGTTACAATTGATTTTACCACTGTGATGTAGAGCTTACACAAGCTAATAATACAGTCTTCATTTGCATGTTAAAATTAGTATACCAACTTTAGTGTTACTGCAGGATTTTCCTTTGAAAATCAGAACTTATGAATAAATTAAAAGAGTAATTAAGTCATCATTGACGATAAGAGTTACAAAAAATTAGCAAAATCAACAATGAACATAAAAATAAAATCATATTGAAATTTCACTTTATAATAGAACTACCGATTTTATCTGGAAGTGAAAAGGTCAGAAAATGAAAACACAATACAGTAATTTCAAGTAAGTTAAGAAACTGTTTTAAAAACCAGTCTATGATTGGCTGAATTTAAATTCAAAATGAACCAATTAAAGAGTAGTGACAGCAGACAGGTGTCAACCACAGTTACAGGTGTCTACCAAATTTACTAAGTTTACATAACTGTACCATCATCATACCTTCTTGTGAAGATAACATATGGTGGTTTACGAGAAGGTCGAAGGCTTCATAACAATACACGTCCTGCCGCAGTGCTTCTTTGAAACATTCCATAGCTAGTGTCCTGTTATCCATTGCCTCATATATCTGACCTCGTAACACATTCATAGAACACTCCATCTATATAATGAAAAATGAACAAATGAGTGTTATGAATTATTATTACCCCTCACTATTTCAGTAATGTTAATTTCCAATAGGCCAATAGCAGATATTCTTACTGTTAATTCAAGTGTACCACTGTCAACATGACTAACAAATTTGTAACAGTACTTGTTCATAGTAAAAATCTGTAAAAAAACCTATAAAAATAGTATCCCAATGAAGTATTTGTTTGAGGTAATAAAATAAATAACACAAAGGTTGGTGACCAACAGAAAAAATATCATCCCTCGTAAAAACGTCTAAGGTAACAGTATTTTCCTTGGGATAATAATTTTATTCACAAATCTCATACTGTGTTATTTATATTATAATACATTGTATATTGAGTACCCCGGTATAAACATTTACTGTTAATCTCTCAAGAAAATTTAAATTAAACAGTTATATTCCTTTTAGATCTGTGTTAATATGTAAAATGCTGCTGGCTGCCTGACCATAGATGGGAAGCGGCGCCTAGTGGTTAAGGTGTCTGCCTCTCAACCGAGAGATCATGGGTTCAAGCCCTACTTGGGCCATGACCATGTTTCTTTATATGACACCAGTACTGGCTGGTTCCTGGAAACGGACTAAAAAGTGATTAATATAAGTTGCAAGAACTTGTTTGGTAATCAAGCTTAAATAAATATGTTTAAAGACCATAGATGGAAATATTTCCCTCTAGGAAAACTGTTCAGCTGAAACTCAACAGAGCCCAGTTCCAGCCTCAAACAGTTACTTCAAGCCAGATATTTAGATCTATACCAGCAATACAATTCTTATACTCTTCACATATCAATATGATAAAAGAAAATCAACATAGATTATACATACATTTTTGTTAGTTGAAGTATCTGGTTCTGATATACTCTGGTTGACATTGAATGACATTTTCTTGTTGATAGGCTGTATAGAACAAGGTTCAACAAAATCTAATATAGCCAGGGCTTCCTGATACTCCTTACATTCATACTGTAATAAACAACGACAATAATTATAATAACATTGATATAAAATAGTATACCAGAAGTAAGTCATTATTAAATTGTTTAATCAAATTCAATTAAATTTAATGAGATTTCTAATAAATTTTGATTTATCTACAATCAATTCCAAATTGCCTCTCCCAACTATATAACATATCCAACTATTTAACATACCCAACTTCATGTATCTTCCCGATATCTAATGCTAGATAAACCGAACTTAGTGTACTGTGCATTTAGGTGTCCTTTTTGTGTATGGGTAATATCACCCCTCTATGAAGTGAGATTCTGACCAACAAAAATATCTCAGTACATTTATTTAGCTTTGGCATGCCAAAATATTTTTACAAAATCATAATGCTAGATATAGTTAGCTCTTTGAAAAAAAACAAAGTCTCCTATTTAGACAAGAAATTTGCACATAATGTTAAAAACATGGTTTGTATTTATTATAACTACAAACTATATTTAGAATGATTTAAAAATACTACATTATAGTCCAGCTATTATAATTGTTATTTATCAAGAAATAATATCTGTCGTGGTTATGACACAAATATTCCAAAAATACCCAAATACTCATATACTTTTCCCGAAAATGGACAGAATTGAGACAGACACATACTGTTTTATTTATGACGATATTATATGATATATGTGAAAACAAGTTCAATACTTACATGGCATTTAGCTGCTAAATATCTACAGCACATATTGTTCTATAAAATATACACATATAATATTGATATGTTTTTTATATACATATATCATTTACAGTGATAGAAGATAGAAATATTAAATTTTCATTCCAAAGGCATAAACAGTACATATATATTATATAACAATGTCCATATTTTCATATCTTACATCATCAGACAGTATCAATATAGCAGGCTTCAGGCGAAACAAAAAACAAAATAAACACTTTGCCAAACTTTAGCTCCGCAGGGCACCAGGTGAGCTAAAATGAATAGTCAAGTATAAATAAAAGTAATAAACAGAGCATATTTTGTTTGTTGATCATGATATACCTGTACACTATTTCCCATAAATATCTGAGAAAACAGCAATATTTTTACACAATCATATTACAAGTGAAAATGTGGATAAAATATTTTCTCAATGTGATGATATCTATACCATTCTCATGAGGGAAAACAATGATGAATCTAATTTAAGATTATTGTCAACACTGTGGTGCAACTTTTTACAATTTAAGTAAAGTAATCATATCAAATCAAGAAATATGCTGGATAAAAAAAAATTCAACAATCAATTCTCATATCAATTTTACACAATCATAAAAAATAATTTTTGTATTACTATCTATCCTGACATAACAAAAGTTGGGCAAAGCTTTATCTGTCACAATATGAGAGATATACTGTGATCTATATGGATTTTATTTCACAGAATGACAGATAAAACCCTTATTTCATTAACTAGCATAAAATAAATACAGTTTTCACTTACTTTGTGCAATTTTCTATTTAGAATACATTTTGCAGCTCTGTGATACTGGCCAGTACTGTACAAGGTCTGGGCATACCAATACACATCCTCCACTGCACCTACATGTATACCATTTTTAAGTAAACTTTATTACCAATTTATGCTTTATTAATTTTTCTTTTAGAAAACTATTTAAAAAATTACTATTTTTAAGTACAAAAGAAATGTATATGACAGACTTAAAAGAAACTTTTTTTCTTGGGATTCAACATAAACTAAACAGTAAAATTGGTGACTGAAGAATAATTGGAAAAAAAGTTCCGAACATCTGATCATTTGATGGTCCAGGCACTGACTGAAAGCTAGCTGAACTGCATGACATACAACTTTATCTCCCTTTAAAGATTTAAAGCATGAAAGGTGTTTACTATAATTCAGTCAGTACTTATTAAACTTTCCTTAAAAAATGAGTATTGGTTTTGATTAGATTGAAAGATTAACAATTTGATATTAGATATTTAGTGCTTAAGAGTATATCATCTTCTTTTCCTACACAAATGTTTTTTTTTTTTTTTTTTTTTTATAATTTAAGGAAATATTTGCATTCAAAAATTTAGCAGTTTTATGATTAGAGAGAAATATTACCATTTGACAATGATACCAATTTGTCCGCCCAAAATGCTGCAGAATCATAGTGGTGCTGAAACCAACAAGATTTAGATGTTTATACATGTCAAAACTGTTATACGGCTATGCTTGAATGAAAAATTGTTCAAAACATCATATAAACATGTATGTTTAGTAAAGTATTTCATTAAATTAAGAAAATGTACCAATAACATTAACACAAAAGGAAGAGCTGTATTCAGACCAAATGTGAACAAAGGTATAGATTTTCCTTCAACCTAGTATCAGTCCATCATTTGTATGTAAGAGGTGCAAGTAGGATTTGTCAAGAAAATATTATGCATTTGGGATTTTTTTAAACCTGATCTTGAAAAAAGTGTTATTTTGAATATAATTAGTACTTTATTGTCAGTGTGTCACAGATTTGTATAGTCAAAATCAATCAATATATTATGTCACCACTATACACAGATTTGTAATGTAATGTAACTGCAGGTTAAATAGATTTTATAAGGTTACTGATAATATGATTAAATGCAACAGTTTGGTAAGATTCGGAGCGATTTGATGACTTTTTTCACTTTTTACACAAGTTTCAGTCATCATCAAAGATGAAACATCTATAGATCACTCTTCCATTATTATGATTAATCAATTAATTAATGTCAAACCCCTCGCAGGACGTAGAGGGTAGACAGGACTCTAGACTAGTCATTACAGAGACAGCTATAAGATACAAGGGAACCAGTCCCTAGCTCTTATTGAAATGACCCCTGGAAGTTGTTTCTGTTACATGACTAGTTTATAGCACTGATACATGCAAGGATTAGCTGGATTTCTTACCAAAACACCTCTTTTTAGGTGGGAAACACTGGAAGTGTCTCTGAAAAATACCAAGGGTGTTAGGCCATCTTTAAAAAAAATGTTTGTTTGCAGTAACCCGACCCAGAATTTTCAAGGTGGGTAGGTAGGTTGATTTTTTTTTTTGAACTGTACTCCCAAATAAACATGGAATTTCAAAATGCTGGACAATATATGCTTTGATAATCTGGTAACAATTAATAAATTGATAACTGAATTCTAATTTAGTAAGACCTACATTTTATTTCTTCTATTAACCTTTAAAAGAATGAAAACAAAGCACAAGGCATAATTTTCTGATTCAAAGAAAATAATTTTTTATCCAGACCATGAAAAAAAATTTTGAGTAGGGTCAAATTTTGTGAGTCGGTCGCATTACTGCAAACAAACTTTTTTTTAAGGATGGCCTTACCCAGGATCGAACCTGGGACCTCAAGAGTGACAGCCAGTGGTCTTAATACCAACTGGGCTATCGCGCCACCTTCATATGGTTTAACATACCTCATAGAATACAAGAGCTGTCGGTAGGACAGCAACGCTCGACTATTCTTAGTACTTGTTAGTAAAAAAAATGCTTGATAGAGTTACCTCCTCCTGTTTACAGGTTGCGGTAATGATGGTGAACAAGTGTGCAAAGTTTCAAAGCCATATGTCAATGGACTTTGAAAATATTTGAACTATTACAAAAACTTTAACGTAAGTGGTTACGCCGACGCTCGGGTGACTACAATAGCTCTACTTATTCTTATCGAATAGTCGAGCTAAAAATTAACTTTATTTCCAATTATGGGCTGTTACAGGCATATAGACTTTAATCACATAATAATATTGTACAACATGTACAGAACTAAAAACATATAGATTTAAAACTTTAATATCTATAAATCTCTAGACTATGACTATCCATAAACAGGGCACTCATTTGGTCATTTTTGACGCCAAATATGTGTACCATTCCCCTCTCAAAATGATGAAAATCATATGTATTTTTCCCCTATCTCAGAAAAAAATCCCCTCCAAATTCTAAAATAAATCAACTTAATATAATTTGTTTTATTTGTTAGTCTGCATTAAAAATATATACTAGCTATTGATTTCAATGGTAGGAAAATTACTAACTATTGAAAATAACTTTGTAATGAGTAAATGTGTTAAAAAAATACTAGGGATGTCATTAGGAGTCCGGATATCCGAACGTTCGGATCACCATTCGGTGTCCGAAGCCGATTTTCTGATCCGGATGTTCGTATAAAATATTTTAGAATATTGAGAAAATGTGATAAATACATGCGTTAAGATAATCATAGACATGGTGTTGACACCATATTGTATATTGTACCCTAGTTTGACAATACACATCAGAACAAAAAATCAATAATTACTATAATAATTACGAATGTTATTAATCAAATTTAACTTTTGTAAGATTCATGATGAATATTCTAAGTCCCGTGCGATTGTCATCACAACGATGTTACATTTTTTGTGTCCAAATTTAAATATTTATTTAGGCTATCATTTTTATATATATTTTGGCTTACCGACCCGTCGACTCCTTATTTTGAGACAATGAAAAATCTGCAGAAATAAAATAATCAAATCAAGAATTGCACTTACGAATAATAATATGTTAATTATCACAGCTTTAATTGAAATTGAATAACTTTCTCTTTTAGTATTAATCAAACATGTGCATTGTTTTAAAAACAATTTTTTACACAGTTTTTTTTTCACTTAGGAACACTTAAAAATGTGTGTAATTCATATAAGTTTTGGCAACTCCTTTGATGATTCAAATCAAACAGCCAGGGCTAAATAATGGTAAACATCAAAGATTGGCAGATTCTTTTGAAAAGCCGGCTACATGCCTGTCAAAGGCCATCGTGAGTAAATTGTATGCATGTTAACATCAGGGCCTTCCCCAGGCCAATTAAGCGCCCCGGTGCCGGGGCGCTTGTTTTTCCGTTTACGGATCACCGGGGCGCTTGGATTTTGTCTTGCATGTTGATCTTAGCGCCGGGGCGCTTGTATTTTGACAGCAGGAGAAACTTCTTATCAACGTAATAGCGCGTGTATTTTTGAAATGGTATATTTATTGATAACAGAAATAAAATCAATAAGAGAAAAACTTTTGATATGTAACATTTAATTAAAAAGGAAGAAAAACGAAATACTACATTTGAAAAATGTTGCAAAAAAATGGTTACGTCATATCAGACATCTAAAAATATAACAACGATCCGAACATCCGGATGTTGGATTCGGATATTTCATTATCTGGAAGGCCGTTTTGGCTCCAGATGACGTCCCTGAAAAATACACTTACTACATAATATTAATAACGTGATTTTCCAAATTTTGCCTTAAAACAACGCAAAATTCCCCTTCCTTAGGGTATGAGTACCTGTCCCCAAAAGGTGTCTATATAATTTATGAAACCCTAGACCTGTAGATAGTGGATTTTTTTTTAGGAAGTGGCTAGCCATACGGGCCCGTACTGGCTAGCCAAAAGTTCTAGCCATACGTGAGTCACGTACGACTAGCAAGAACACACTGTATTGGCTAGCCAATAGATGGAAGTCGAAAATGCATGTTATTTTATGACTTTAAGCAAGAAACAGCAATTGTCTTCGTTGTTTACTTTTTAGAATTTAATCGCCTTGTTGGCTACAGTAAATAAAGTATGAATATCAATCTTTGTCATCTCAAGACGTTGAGAAAAAATAGCGTTTGGTCGCAGTTAAATAACATCAATTGCGGTACGTTACGATACCGAAATCAACTTGATTTCGGTAAAGTTACCGAAATCAACTTTTCATTACCGAAATCAACTTATAAAATCACAATTAAGCGTTTTATTATATTTTTTTCATTATTATATATTACAATAGGTTAAGTTTGACTTTCATGCAAAAAATCAGTTCGAAATAATCATTAATAATGATATTAGAAACAAATAACTAAATATCAAGATTATTCCCTGATTTGTCACGAACCGAAATATATGTTACAATACCGAAATCGACTTGTAAAATCACAATTAAGCGTTCTATTATATTTTTTTTTCATTAGAATCTATTACAATATGTTTAGTTTGACATTCATGTTAATAATTATATTAGAAACAAATAACTAAATATCAAGATTATTCCCTGATTTGTCACGAACCGAAATATATGTTACAATACCGAAATCGACTTGTAAAATCGCAATTAAGCGTTCTATTATATTTTTTCATTATAATCTATTACAATAGGTTTAGTTTGACATTCATGCAAAAAATCAGTTCGAAATAATTAATAATTATGAAATTAGAAACAAATACCTATATTTCAAGAATACTTCCCTGATTTGTCACGAACCGAAATATATGTTACCATACCGAAATCGGCTTGTAAAAGTTAAACTAAACATTTTCATAGATCTTGTTTAATTAATTAATATAAAATCATTCAAACTGAACCATAAACATAGGAAAATAATATTTAATTATAAAAAATGATGATGTTATAGACGGATATGTATATTATATCATGATTACTTCCCTTGTTATTAATGTGTTGCATTACCGAAATCAAATCAGATTTCATTTCAAAGATGAGAATAACCCCTAAAATATTTGCATGAATTTCAGAAGTCTATGAAAAAGGTATTTGAGTGAGTTTTAAACTTTGAATTCATATCGCTTATTTACAATGTTTAGTCAGATAACATTGCAGCGTATCATCTCTTTGATGTTTCTTAATGATTTTAAAAATACAAGATTAAACAAAACTGTGTTTGAAGCTATCCGCCTAATTTAGATCACTATTTAAATAGTTGATTGGAAATTATCACAGAATTTAATTTAAATCCAATGATTATGATTTGATTAAAATAAAAAGACGTAGCGGTAGCCATTCATCATAACACCTTTACTAATAAGGAGCAAGCATACACGTGCTCGAACAATGGAGGTGTTAGTTGACATAATTAACATACTCGTTAACCGCAATCCTTTAATATATACATCGGCGCATGGAAACTTTAGAGTATCCAAACAACATAATTAGACATAATTATTTTGCATGAAAATAAAGCTGCTTGTCTCCATTATGACAAAAATACATTACAGTTTAATATAAAATGACATATAGCGACCATCCCTATATATATCAAAATACTTTTTTATTAGTTCTATATTATACATATTTCAGATCTAGTAAGCTGGTAAAAATATAATTTTATATTAAATAAATTGTCAAAAGACCGGTTTTAACTAATTTATAGGGGTGGCCGTAGAAAACATTTCGGTATATGAGACAAGGTGCTTTGATATTATTATTACCAAATTGCATATCAGTTGTTCCAAAAATGTATGCAATGTTTTGATGTCCCGGATACTTAACTACATATTCTACTTATTGAAAAAGTTGTTAAGTCATGATTTTATGTTGATCGATTTAAAATCATTTTAAATTTCATATCTGTAAACAGCATAAATTTATGGAATGACTGGTATATATTTATTTGATGAAAAAAAGGAACACTTTTTACTGACAAATTTCAATTATGAAATGTTGTAACTTGTACGATATGACATGCTGTGTATTACTGTATTAAGTAAGGTGTGAAGTAATTAAGACAGGAGGTACAGTTGACATATATTGTATGTAGATTATAATGAACCATCTGTTTATTTCGTATTAAACATTTAAGTAAATGACTAAAATATAAAAATATTATAATAAAGAGTCCCCATAACATATGTTAGTGATTTGTTAATATATAGTTAAACTGTTCAATAAAAGAAAGACACAAACTTTCAAATTTCCAATTTTACTGCCTGATACATCATACAATTTTTATGGAACATTTTTAGAGCAGTCGAATTATATATCTGTATTCAAATTTATAATAGAAAATCATAAACTTCCGATTGAAGTTGAATATTTTTTCTTCATAAAACATAAACATGTACAAAATTTATAATTATCTTTAACTCATATTACAGAATATTTTATTTTTCCATCATAGTCCGATCATAGCTTTTTAAAAATACGATTTTATTTAGAAAATTGTTATGCACGACAATCACGTGCAGATATATAACATGCTAATATGGCGGTATCAGACTTTTTCTTAAATCATTATATACATTGCATTCTAATATGAAATGGTACTAGTCTTCTAAGACATTACATGAAAAACATTTTCTATCATTTAAAGTTGTACTATTTGGTTTAGTCCATCTACCTGAGTCTATGTGCAATCTATGAGATGATACTCTTAGCGTAGTGAGATCTTTACAAAACCGTTCAACATTGATAATATTTAGATATGGTTGAAACTTAAAAACAGAAATATGTCTATAAAATAGAGCTCTACTAGAGTTATCTAATCTACTATCTACTAATTATATACATAATTTAAACTTCACCGCTGATTTCGGTAATGCTAAACACATAACGGGTTGTTTAGAACAAAGGCTAGTAACTCAATAATTACATTTTTGTTAATAACATCATTAAAATAAAATATTTTCAATAGATTTTTTAACTGAAAGTCTGTTTCACTATTTTTCATCAAATAATGAAACTAGAAATGTGTCATCATGCCACGGATGCCCCCGCATGCAGCCAAAATTTCAGATGGTGCATTAATTTTTTTTTTCATTTTAAGTTCAAAGCCCTTAAAACTTTTCAATGTTAACACAAACCATTTCCATACAACGTTCAAGGCACTGAAATTATTCAGTCTTAACCTTTAGAAAAAGCATATTGCATATTTGTAGCCAAAATAATGGCTAAAAGAATGAGTGCTGAAACTGAAAGTTCAAAATTTTTCCAACATTCAGGAAAGATAAGTTTGTCTAAAATCATTGAACCATGACCAAATTCAAACTTAAACTACTTATTCCTAAGATGTATCTATATTATTTTCAAAGTGAAAGGGACATAACTCTGCCAAAAATCCATCAAACCATGACCAAATTCCAACTTGACCTGCCCATTCCTTTGACATATCCATATGTCAAATTAAAATTGAATATGTTACACTGTTAGGTAGATAATGAACAGAAACTGTAAATTTCATATTATTTTCAAAGTGAAAGGGGCATAACTCTGCCAAAAATCATTGAACCATGACCAAATTTGAACTTGACCTGCGCATTCCTTTGACGCATCAATATGTCACGTTTGAGTTGAATGTGTTGTACCTTGAGGGAGATAATGAACGGAAACTGAAAATTTAATATTATTTTCAAAGTGAAAGGGGCATAACTCTGCCAAAAATAATCGAACCATGACCAAATTCGAACTTGACCTGTATTTTCTCATGACATATCCATATGTCAAGTTTGAGTTGATTGTGTTGTACCGTTGGGGAGATAATGAACGGAAACTGAAAATTTCATATTATTTTCAAAGTAAAAGGGGCATAACTCTGCCAAAAATCATCGAACCATAACCAAATTCGAACTTGACCTGTATTTTCTCATAACATATCCATATGTCAAGTTTGAGTTGAATGTGTCCAACCGTTCTTGAGATAATGAACGGAAACTGAAATTTCATATTATTTTCAAAGTAAAAGGGGCATAACTCTGCCAAAAATCATCGAACCATGACCAAATTCGAACTTGACCTGTATTTTCTCATGACATATCCATATGTCAAATTTGAGTTGAATGTGCCCAACCGTTCTTAAGATAATGAACGGAAACTGATGATGACGGAATGACAGAATGACGGAAGGACGGAAGGACGGAAGGATGGAAGGACGGAAGGACGGAAGGACGGAATGACGGAACAGGGTAACACTATATGCCCCGGCCATTACATGGCGGGGGCATAAAAATAACAGTAATATTTTAACTAGGTTGGTTTTTACGAGTTGATTTCGGTAATGCTAAACACATAACGGGTTGCTTAGAACAAAGGGAAGTAACTCAATAATTACATTTTTGTTAATAACATCATCAAAATAAAATATTTTCAATAGATTTTTTAACTGAAAGTCTATTTTACTATTCTTCTTCAAATAATGAAGAAATAATAGCAATATTTTAACTAGGTTGGTTTTTACGAGTTGATTTCGGTAATGCTAAACACGTAACGGGTTGTTAAGAACAAAGGGAAGTAACTCAATAATTACATTTTGTTAATAACATCATTAAAATAAAATATTTTCAATATATTTTTTAACTGAAAGTCTGTTTTACTATTTTTCATCAAATAATGAAGAAATAATAGCAATATTTTAACTAGGTTGGTTTTTACGAGTTGATTTCGGTAATGAAAAGTTGATTTCGGTAACTTTACCGAAATCAAGTTGATTTCGGTATCGTAACGTACCCCATCAATTGAAATAATTTACAAAATTTTGATGATAATCCGTTTTGTTTCATTAAGTTTAATTTTCGACACCTTTAGATGAAAAAAATATTTTTGTTAGGCTCTGATAATTGCGTCAATTACCGGCCTATTAAGGAAAGTTTGCATGTTCCGTGAAATGCATTTTAAAATTCTATTGTCAGTCCCTGGGTAGGCTTTAATTTAGACTTATTAATTGATTGTGCTTTTATGTTCGATATTTATCTACTGTATTTGAAAATTATACAATTATTTTTGCTTTTCACCATTTTTTTCAATGTTCTTTTCTTTTTATTTATTCCACTCCGATTATTATTTATTCGATCCATGTGCTTTATAAACAAAAAATCACCTTTCATACAAATAAAACAACAAATCATAATCCTGAGGCACAAAATAACATATGCATGTTCGGTTTCCATATAATTTTGAAAAGTGCCGTACGGCTAGACAATACAGTGAGTCCTGGCTAGTAGTAAGTGACTCACGTACGGCTAGAACTTTTGGCTAGCCACTTCCTTTTTTTAAAATTCTTTTTTGTATTTGGTATCTTATGGAAAGCCTAAGAGTATTGTATTATTTTTTCTGGGTTGTAAAGGCGTCCAGGGGCAGGGTGGCCGAACACTGATACTGCAACATGTTCAATTTAGGACATAGGAAGGTCCTCACACATAAAGTCACACATAATTTTGTGTAAACCCCCGGCCCCAAGTGTCTTGTGATTTGAAAATTGGTTAGTTATCATTAAACATGTTAAATAATGTGATTGTGGTTAAAACCTTGTCTATGTATTCTTTAACACGCTCTCGTAAGCGGGTAAGGTTGAAAGTACACGGTGATTTTGTGTTTGAAAAACTTAGATTCTCTTGTCTGTCTCCTTCGCCCGCCATATTTGTTTTCATTGAACTGTTACCCAATTAGAAGCTTTAGAAATGTTACGTGCTCTTCAATTGGTCAACGTATTGGTTTCTATATTCACTACGTAGTTCTGGAAGAAAGCTGGGAACCAATGCGTGCTATCTTTTGATAAGCCAAATTTGATTGGCTAAAACAGCAAACAGGTTCATGGAAACGGAAGTAAATAAATATGGAGGATAGACGAAAAAACTGAATATTGTAAAATTATACATTGGGAGCCATAAAGAGTTATTGTAAGTATGTTTTCAGCTGACAAGCTAAATGACGCAAACCATTTATATACAATATCAGCGCTAAGGCCATGTTATGGCTGGGGTTCACATGCATGACATGTGAGGGGCCTGATTTCTTTATCGTCTTGACATAGTCATAGTGTTTTGATATTTGAAATATTTCTTGTTGAATTTTTTACTTTAAATTAATCATAATGTATGTTTATCATGTATTTTTACATAATGTAAGATGTTTTATTTCATAAAATATGAGTAATTTATCACAGGTGGCATAGATCTACATGTGAACTTTTTCCAATGAATGAATGATCAAGTGGGACATTTTTCTTCTAAAAGAGCGAGATTTTAGAATTTGCAATAAACAAAGAAGAAAGTTCTGACATCAAACAGCGGGAGATTTTTTTAATTTGTGAAAATACCACTTATTTTATGAAAAATGTTTGAAAATATGACTGTAGAAAGTGGATGTCTCCCGCTAAGAGTTCACATGTATGAGGTGGCCATAATTCGTTACCCTCTAACATTTTACAGTTTTTACAGGGTTCTGATAAATCATAACACTCGCTAGGAGTAATAATATCTGTCATTATGTTCTGGTTCAGATCGGAATATCTGTTCTTTAAGTGGACCCACCCATGGGGGAGTCCCTGAGGGACAGATATTCAGATACGAACCGCAGACATATGACAGATATATTTTCTTGCATATCTTTCCATAAACAATCATATTTTAATTTCTTTACCTTATTAAAACAATTTTGTGTGGAAATTTATGGCATAACACCCGTAACTATTTTCTTACTACAGTATATGAAATTACAACTTCATTCATAACAGCAAAATTATCTGCGACTCATCTGGCACCCCCATTCCAGATGAAATTTCCAGCATGGGTAAAACTTACGGAAACAAAAAATTGTATTCTTGACTGAATACTGGATTTTGTTTTGTAATATATTGCATTTGTATATTTGACTATGAACTTAAATCTATACATTGTGCTTCCTGTCTAAGATAATTTTAAGATCAGTTTTAGTAACCAGTTTTGTATTCAAGATTTTACAGGAATATTAGTCAACATATTAATTAAAGATAATCAATGCCAGGTAGTGACATTAAAATATAGTAAATTTCCATATATTTTAGCTTAAATATCAACCATGGAACAAGATCCAGATGTCTATGCTGAACAGGCCAAAAAACTCGTGGATGATGTTATTGAAACAGCTATAAAAAGACTTGAAACAAATTTATCTATAATGTCAGAGAAGGAAAAGACATTTGAATCTCTGAAATTTAGTGAGATGTCAAGAGAATCAACTTTGATAAGAGAAGATGATTATGTCATTGATAATATAGCCTGGTTATCTATTGGTGATTACTCTGTACAACTTGCAGAGAAGAAGATTGACGAGTTTATACAGGTTAACTTACTTTTTTATTTTTCATGTTGTTTTGGAAATGAATTGTTAGAGAAGAGTAACAATTTGTTTTCTAAATGTCTGCATATTTTATTTAAAAAAGTAAATTTAAACAGTAACAGTCAACAATGAAATAGCCGAATTAAAGCTCAAGACCAGCTGATTTATAAGATAAGCTAAACAATTTACAGGAAGTAAAACTTCCATTCTAGTCGTTAGTAAGTTTCCTTTATGATCCTGGTATTTCATTTTCTTATGATATCTCTTACATATCACATGTATCACTTACAGACATGGAAGTATGACAATAGCTGGTTATATTGTATTGATTATCTGGGTGAAGATGAGCATGAGTTTGACGTGCGACACAGATTCCGTGTACGATGGAGTGTTCCTACTCGTAGAAAACCAATACCAAGGGCAACTGCATGTGTTTACTTTACATTCCAAGTTTCAAAGATCAAACCAAAGGTATTTAAATCTTGAATGCTTTTTTTTTGCCTCTGAGATACATCACGTACATACAAACTCATCAAACTCTGGCAGTGCCATAGAAATATCAAATGATTTGCAAAGAAATTTTTTTTATTAACCAGGTTTAATATCTTCTTTTTTTTCAAGATAGTGTGAAGTGACTGGGCTTTTGTTGTTTTTTTTGTTTTGTTTAATGAACATAATGAACATAAATTGTATAATGTACTAGTGTTGTATATTTATTTATTTTGTTTATTTGTATATTTACATGTATTTCAGTAACTGTACCTTTCTAGATTTTTGTCAAATGAGATCTAACAAAAATGTGCATTTAGATATGAATATTTTCAAGAATGACATGTTTTAATCTGTACATATATTATTCCATGGATTTTTTCAGCATGTCACTAAAATAATTCTTGCACGTGCTGCTAGCTTGAATAGAAATTTATAAATATCTTACATATAATTTGTATTTTTTAACAATACATAAAATTGTTTTACAAATTTTAAACAACCATATAAAGCTTTAAACCCATTTAACTTAGTACAGTGTATTCATATTAATTTTTAAACTTAACCTAACATGTGATACAAGAAGTACCTTGAGGATATTGTTTTTATTCTACATTAATATAAAATTTCATGCATCATTATTATCATTTCAGTCTCATCCAGTTGAAGTATTTTATGTGTTTGAAACAAACAGATTAGTACACAGGTAAGAAAAATAAATTTTGAAATTAGTAAATGATGGACAATCAGTGTTTTATTAAAAGGGCTGGATTTAGTATGCAAACCTTCACAGAAACTACTGTAACACTCTAGCATACATGTAGCTTGTCAGGCTCATTTTTATAAGAGAAAAAAAACTTCAGCTTTTATAGATGTTTAAAGATAATTCTATGAAAACATCAGAATTCATATATTTATGTTTTGTTTATTGTTAATTTTGCAATTTGTTACATCATAATTTCTTTGTGTATTTGACAAAATGATATCAATTTTGTTAAAGTGATGAATTCATTAATCCAAATGATATATTTTTGTTATTTATATTTAATTTTTAAAGACCTGTAATTGCTCATTAGATGATATTTTAGTGGTTATTTTGGCCCATTAAGATACTTAACTTTACACTTTAAATAAATCAGAATTAGAGACGGGTATGTATAATTGTTGAAAGGCTCATGAAAGTGCTACATGTTTATATTGTTTGGAAAAAAATGGCTAGAGTTTTTACAAGTGTGTTGATTTATTGTGTGTGATCCATGTGATATTGATGTGAGTTAACATAGAATAACCATTTGCCCAGCAATTGTTGTGATATTAGACCATAATATTATACAGCAAAGATTTTTTTCAATAGATAAATATTGTTTTTGTTATGAATATAATGTTTCTGTTCAAGAAAATTGGTGCATCTGTTACTTCAAAGTGGACTTAATTCATGCTCACTAAGGAATAATTAAAAAGAATTTTCTAACTTTATCATTATAGAGTTATTCATTAAACCGACTTGACTTTGCCACCAGTTTAGAACTATGTTGGCCTGTAAACCCATGCAGTCTGGTCAGATTCTTCTATGTTGTTGCAGAAACTTTTATTACAAAAACTTCCTTGGTTGTAATGGCTGCCAATTTTAAACATTTTGAAATTGAAATCTATTATACTTAAAATTGAATTTAAACAAGGAAACTTCACCAGATCATTTTAACATTAGGGTAAGGGTTATATGAAATGAACTGTTTCTATTCTGAGATCAAATTTATTTACCCAATCAAATCAATCATAAATGACTGTTGGAGTGTTATAACTTGTGTTTGAGATATGATTAGACTTCTTATGCTAGAATATCCTTTTGATATCAAATATGCTAGTTAACAATTTCTGCAGATTTGACAATGGTGTTAATGTGTTCTTGTGTTCTTATATTTGCTATTTTGGACATTAATGTTTGAGCTTAAACATAACATTGTTGATACTTCTTTATTCTGGGGTCTATGTTTATTATCCAATATTTTGTTTCTTAAATGTTTTTTTCTACCAATTAACACTTTAAATAGGATTGGGGTTTTAAAACTTGGTAATGGTTATTTTAGAGCTTACATTATTTTGGATGTATTTATAATGTATATTATTTTAATTCATGGTTATAGATTTTTTTACCCTTTATCTGCTGGAACCAAAATGGATTTGCCTTTGCAACCAGAATAAAGTCAGACTAACCTGCACATCATTGCAGTCTGACCAGGCTCTATACAGTTCTATCTTCCTTTTTTTTGGTATTAAGATCTACAGTATTTAACTTCAAAATGACTGTTCCAAACTCAAAGCAGGGTTAATCCATTTCAGAAATTCAGCAGGCCTAGGTTAAATATATTATAGAAATGATAATTAATTATGTTGCAGAATCATTGCTGAGAGGCTATATTTTCTGTATTCCAAAATTTGTATGAAATAAATAACTTTATGAAATATTTAACTTTATTCAGTGCAAACCAAGACCTACAGTAAGATGTCACATTTCTATATCAGAAATCAGCTTAGATCTTTGTACTATCTAACTAAAAACAAGCCTTATTTTCAGTGATTGTTTACACAAGAACTATACTTTCTTTTTTTCTGTAGATTTTACTGCTTTTAATATCGAGTTATTTAAGGCTATTACGAAGATTTCTTGTTTAAGGGATGATTCATAGTTATACATGCTGTAATTGATTATAGTTAGTAGATTATAAGTTTTATTGAAACAACTATCCCTCTAGTCTAATAATAGAAATATCAGCATGCTAGTTTAATTACTGATATTTTGCCAAGAATTGTACAAATACAACAATAGCAACATTATAGGACAGCTGTTCCTAAAATGGTGAAAAAAGTGTTTCAAAATATTAGGTTTAACCTCTTGTGTCTTTGGTATAGTACAATGTATATACAATATAATTTTTTTGATAAAGCTATCTCCCTTTTTCTTCTTGATAGCCTTAATAATTGTTTCTATATTTTATCAAATTAATACTTTTTTTCTTAGAAAATAGCTTGTTTAATTTTTTTAGCATAGATGAAAAATAATCAAACTTTAATAAAAACATTATTGTGACAGCAGTGAATCAGTTGTTAAGTTATTGTCTGATATATATTACATGAATAAAACATTTTTGTCAGAAATATCACAATTAACGGTGTAGAATAGGTTATTTTGTTGTCAGATATATCAGTGTATCACAATTAACTATTTGTTTTCTGATATATCATAATAAACAGTGCAGACAGTGTTTGTTGTCTGATATTTCACAATAAACAGTACAGATGGTGTTTGTTGTCTGATATTTCACAATAAATAGTGCAGACAGTGTTTGTTGTCTGATATTTCACAATAAACAGTACAGATGGTGTTTGTTGTCTGATATTTCACAATAAACAGTGCAGATGGTGTTTGTTGTCTGATATTTCACAATAAACAGTGCAGATAATGTTTGTTGTCTGATATTTCACAATAAATAGTACAGATGGTGTTTGTTGTCTGATATTTCACAATAAACAGTGCAGATAATGTTTGTTGTCTGATATTTCACAATAAATAGTACAGATGGTGTTTGTTGTCTGATATTTCACAATAAACAGTGCAGATAATGTTTGTTGTCTGATATTTCACAATAAACAGTGCAGATGGTGTTTGTTGTTTGATATATCATAATGAACAATGTAAATGAGGTCTAAATTACATTGGGGATGATAACACCAAATATAATAATACATGCAGGTCAATGATTTGATGCTGAATTATATAACTTACAATAATTATAAACAATTGAATTATCAACTTTTAGATATAGGAAATTAGTAGCTGTACTGTTTTATGCTTATTTTTTTAACATTTTTGTCATTGCTTTATCTAACATTTTTCTTATATATTAACTTAAGCAACTTACTGTCAAACCTGTGCTATTGACCATGACCTGGAATACAAAATAACTAGATGGCAATGACTAACATACATTCATAAAACCATCTCCAAGTTTACCATTAAGTAACTGACAAGCTTATTTTTATATGCCAATTTAACCACTTGATACATGCAGATGTTCCCTATAAGATGTTCATGCAGTATATGAACTACTGTCTTCGTAGAATTAGTCCAAATTTTTAAACCTTTTTCATATTTCATTATTTCTATGTTGTGAAATATAAAAAACAATTTTTATTGTACATATTAAGGCCGATTTGAATGACTTTTTAATAAAAAAAAATATATGCACTCGTCAAAATGTGTTTACGAAAATATTGTTGACCTCTTACATTGTTGACCTCCTAGGCAATTGATAGCCTTTGTTTAAAACAATTTTAATATGGCACTATATTACTGAATGAATTTAATCTAGTTCTTAATATGTTCTTTGTATTTGATGTTTAAATGTTATTCCCAAAATCGACAAAACATTCACATGAATTTCCCAAAATGAAAAACAATAAGGCTGAATTTCTAGGAAAAAGACAGTCTTCATAAATGTGGAATTTAGAATAGAAGTCTTGACAGTTAGTTCTATAAAAGAAACAAATTATTATATTACCATACAAAATAGATTGGACTAAAATTAGTACAAATAATTGAGTGTCTAAATTTGACATTATGCAAATTTTATGTTACTTAAAGACCAGTCAAGACATTTTTATGGTTACAAGTGGCCCTAGCGGGCAAGTTGTCTCTTTTTAAACAATTTTTGTGAACTAGGGTATTTAAGCTACATTTCTGTATATCATGATAGGACATGGTCTGTATTACAGGTTTGATAGTATTTAGAGTTTAAAAAAAAAGCAAGAATATTTCTTAATTAATTTTGTAGTTAGTGATAATCATTGTGTTTTTCTTTTATTTTAGAATTAGATACATGTAAATTTTATAGAATATTTCATAGTTATAAAGAACATTTAATGTTAATAGGGTCATGATATTTCATTTACATACACAAATAATGAGAGGTTAACTATAGGAATGGTCAAGTCAGAAAGAAATTTGCCTATTGAGGCTATCTGTTAATCCTTATTGTTTTAAATTAGTTAAACACACCAACACTGAACAGGAGTTTTTAAATTTATAAGTAATTAGTTTGTAAAAAAATGCCTTTCTGTCTAGCATAACTGCAATTGTATTTTCTATGTCTGGTAATCCTCATTAAAATGTTGTAAACTTAATGTTTGTAATTGTATGTGAACATTTTCTGGGCAAGATCACCCAATTCTTTTAAAATGTCTGTGACCAAATTGTCAATTGAATCATTTTGTATTATAATTATGTAACTTTTTCAAAGAACCTAGGTGGGAATATATAAAGAAAATATTTATGATTTTGTATAGGAAAATTAAAACCAAAATTACCTCCCTTGTTTAAATAATTTGATTTCTTTCAAGCAGACCCAATGATAACTGAAGGACAATTTAAAACAGTGTTTTATGTATGTTTCAGGCCCGGGCAGTCAAGGTTCCGGGAGAAATGGCTGAAGGATGTCATCGAGAGCAAAGTTCTTATGATGCAAGCAGTAGCCTTCTGAACAAACTTACGTTACTAACCCTGTTAAATACTATTTTAAAGGGAAAAAAGCAAACAAAAAACAGAAAGAAATGTTTTTTACGGAGCGTTTTCACCAACTATAAAAGATTTTTTTCTTTATACAAAGACTTTTATTTATATTTCTTACATGTCAATAATTCTATTTAATATTTCTTATATGTCAAAAATTCTATTTATAGGAAGTTACTGTGATATTATAAATTTTGTATTGATTATTAAAAGATGTGTGTAACTTTAAATTTGTTTTTTATTGTTTTTAAGTGACCTTAAATTATGATTCCAAAAACATAAACTACTGTTAATATTATCAGTATTTTATAAAAAGTTAATGTTGCTGCAACATTTCAAAGTATACAAAGGGTGATAAATCAGTCAAAGGCCATTCCAGAGTTAAGGCCTTGGACAGTGACCACCAGTAATGATCCCGAAGGTAGTGATTGTATTAAAGTTTCAAGGTAATTGCTACAGTAGATTTGAAGATTGATGTTGCATACAAATCTAAATTAACCAGAAATTTTCATAAAGGACCATAATTTTGTTGAAATTCATGCTACAGTTATGGGCCTCAGTGGACAGAGACCTATTATGATGTCAAACGTGAAGGTACATACAAAATTCTTTAGTTGTTAAAGGTAATTATGATGTTGAACAAGAAGTTGCAGTTAAAACTAAGCAAAATGTTACAAAGATTTTGTCGTCCAGGCAAGTGGGATAGCCCAGGCCTGCCATCCTTTAAACAGTGAAGTTAAAAAGGTGAATGCAGCTTTTCATGTCCCTGCATTAATCTTTGTTTTTAGCTCGTCTAATCAATAACAGTAAGATAGAGCTATCCTAGTCGCCTGAGTGTCGGCTTAACGGTTCACTTATGTTTTAAGTTTTTGTAACACCTAAAATATTTTCAAAGTCCATTGACATTGCACACTTGTTCACCATCATGCCCCAAACCTGTAGAAAAGAGAAGGTAACTCTATCAAGCATTTTGACAGAATTTTGCCCCTTTTTTTGACAATGTTTATGTTTATAGTTTGCTTACCACCTCAGATATTTTCATATTTCATTGACATCCGATCTTGCTTTGAAACAAGTTGAAATTTTATACACTAAAAAAAATCTTTTGGAGCATAATAGGATTCTCTCAAAGGCCTTTTATCACTTACATGGATTTGGGAAAAAATTGGCCCATTTGCGAAAATTTTACATTATCAAGGCTCTTTTACTTTCAAGCACTAAGAATAGTCAAGAGTGCTGTCCTTCTGACGGCTCTTGTTTTCTTGCTTCACTTTAGTTTACTTTTTTGCATGTTGCAACATTTAGCTAGGGTCTTGTATTGTGAAGAACAAGACAGGCACATTTTTGTTTAAAATCTATTGCCAGTCATTGGAAATAAAAGAGGCATGTAACTGAATGGTATACAAGTAGTGCATTTTCACAATAGAAACACATTATTATTGTATGTAATGAGGAAAAAATAGAAAACATCTTCAGTCCTTAAATTTTTATTCAATGTAAAAATAGTGTTACATCACAAAAAGAAACGTATCTTTAATATGAAATAAAAGTTATATAATCACAGAAAAGCTTGGTGATAAAATGTACCTATATGAGACTGGAATCTAAATTTACTAGAATGTTGCCTTGTTTCTAGCTTTAGTGGTAGAAGAACCCAAGCAGAACTTAAAATATAATGTTATAGTTATTTGGTTAGATGCTTTTTAAAAGCAACAATTTTTTTTCTGATAATTTTCCAAATCCTTTAGTACAAGGAAGATTATCATTTCTTACAAAAAAATTGCATTGAATTGTAATATGAAAAAATCATACAACTACATGTAGTAAGTTTGGCATGTTAAGTTACCAAACACAATCAAATTCATCTGATTTAATATTGACTCTTCTTTGATTTTTTAAAGTCTATATTCTAACATTTACATTTCGAGACGTTAATATGTTGGAGATATTGTGGATGCCTTAAAGAAGCTGCATTTATTAGCAATGAAACATTAAATTTTAAAGGAAAAAAATCGGGAATGGCGAGATCCTTCGCGAGCAATCATGACAACTAAAAACAAATTTTCTTCAATTTAGATTCCAGTCTGATAAGGTTTATTATATAGGGCTTAAACATTACACAAGCTAATATCTAAACATGCGGTTTTGTTCTATATATTGTAGTCAGATCTACCTTTCCTATCTATATATATATTTCGTCAACAGAATTTACACAAACAATATTTATAATACTGAAACAATTCTACAAATACCTTTTGATGAAATATTGAAAATATCTATATAAAACCTGCGATGATATAAATGAAAATAACAGCAACTGTGTAATACTCTAAAATGCATAAACTGAAGTCTCAGTGTTTCATATAATATAAATACAATTTTATAGTGCGCAGGAATATTATAATACTTAATGCACTAGATATATAGTTCAGTTTTTGTTACAGCATAAGTGACATAGATATCAAACAGATATTGCCATGTTATAATTATGTACATGGTACATATTGTATATGATCAACATTTCATAAGTTTCACAAATACATTTTGATAGTTCTACTTTAATTCTACTGAACTTAGAAATTTTCGTAACTGCAAAAAACTGACCTTCTATATTTGAATATCATTATAAATACATCAGATTTGTCATGTCTTGACCAATAGAAAAACTCGAAAAATGTATATTGACAAGACTTTTAGATAAAGACATTTTCTGTGTAATATAATTAATGCATTACTTTCTATTTGCTGACTGTATATTATGCATATTAAATAAAGAAACTGGTCAGATTTTTTCAGGTTGTAACAATAATACTGGAAATTGTTCATTATAACCTAGGTAAAATATCTTTGGTAAAGTAAAAAAATAAATATAGAAATGTATTAAATTTTTGCTTTAAGCAAATATAACAAATTGATCTCAAATAATATAACAGATCTTTCTCAAATACAGTAACAGATCGATGTAAAATAACAGTAATAAAATAATGGTGTTGTAATGAAGTTTAAAAAATCATCTTTTTGACAATCGTCTTTTTGACTGCATGTGTTCTTTAAATAGCACATTTTTTCTAGTGTTTTTATTCTTGTTTTTTTTTGTTGTTGTAAAAGTAAAAGCTCTAACTGAATAAAAATATATTTGTTCTTTTGGCTGAAAGAAATAATAGTAAAATTATAAAATATCTAACTACTTTGACATTCTATTGAGCAACAAAAGTGTACATACAGATACATAAAAAAAAAAAAAAAAAAATTCTGAGGGTAACTTATTTTTAAAGCACGCAAGACTAAACTTTTAGATAACTAAAATATAAGATTGTAAAAATAAGACAAAAATCATCTATCAAAATCAGATATTTATACATGTATTTGTTCTTTTGTTTAATGTAATGAATAGTTTCTTTCATTTCACACTGCACAGAATGTAAGAGTTATATAATAACTACAATCTCATGATTATAGTATTATGTGAAATGTCATAGCTTAAATATTATTTCATTCTGTCATTATTTAACATTACTTGGATACTGTTAACTTCAGTCATTAAAGAATGATCACAAGAAAAAATGATATTATTTCATGGAAATCTATCTTTTGCAGCTCCATATGCAAATTTCCATGTTTACATTGAAGAAAAAATCTCATAACAAATATGTATGAAGTGTAAGAAATTGGTTCTTAACTGACATAGCAGAACTGCTGTGCAAATATTTCCGGCTTTAAATGGATAGAAAATATTCTTCTTAATAATTTGAAAAAATTAAGCCGTAAAAACATATAATTTAAATGATATCATGTGGTCTGTAATTCATCTAAATCTTGTAACAGACCAAATAAAGTAGGAAAACTGTGCCGCTGTTGTGTGAGTAACTTGAGGTTTTAGTTGAAATCATTCTATCACAATGTATACAGTCACAGATCTTTTTTATAAATAATGCATATAATACCAGTACATGTATAAAATATTGTTGTACATAATAATGATTATGAAATAAAAAAGGATCACACAAAGATACAGCAACAATACAGTTATTGATTATATACATAATCTATATATATATTTTACATTAAAAGTTCTAAAGGCTCGGACATAATAAATAGAGACAAAGAAAAATGAAGATTCTCTTGTGTTCAACAAGGCACACTCACTGCAATTTTGTCTTGTTGACGATTGTGAAATTTTCTTTGTTCATAGTAACTGGTGTATAAATATAACAGAAATATTATAAGGCAACCTTCATATAAGATTTAAACACAGTCCTTTTGTATCTAAGTGGTCTTAACATGATGTTATGAAAATTTATCCAAGTAATTATTCATAATAACTAATTTAACACAGGTATAATGGTTTATACACTATGCTTATTGATTTAGGCTGTCAATTAATTGTCTTGTTATATTATGTCCCAGCCTTAGATTTCTAGGAGACACAGACATTTTTATAACAATAATAAAAGCTGTGTCATACTAGGATGATCACTGTATCAACAAATTTATAAGCAAATAAAACCAGATCTTTTTTTAAAAAATAGTTATCTTTTCATAATTAAACTGATATAAAAATAGTCCAGATAAAATTAATAGCTGCAATGAAATATAATTGACATCAACATAACCCCAAGAATAAAATATTTTATATCATATTTTGTTTTCATATTATAATATTGCTTACAGCAGAATGATGAAAAAGGAACATTCATCAAAATTCATTCAAACAGAAAAACTCTAAAGGCAGTGAAACTCAATTTGAATTCCTTAAAAAAAACCTTAAAAAGTGCAAAATTACAAACATAGAGATTTTTACTCTTTTTTTCAGTGTTTTATATAAATTATAATCATTTATTTATGTCAGCACAAAATGGCCTTGCTGTATGACCACCTCTGTTCAACAGTCAAGTGATGATCATTTTTCAAATGAGGTAAGAAATTATTTCAACGAGCAAATTGCCACAAGCAGACGGCACAGAAACATTGATAGACTGGTTCACAAATATTTATTTTCATGCTTTTTCTTGAGTTTGACTGGCTTCATTCTCCTCTTCTTTCTGGTCATCAGAATTACGCTCTACATTTTCTTTTTCACTTTCTTTTTCTACTTGTTTTGGTGTTGCACTGTCGGGTTTCTGATAAAAGAAAGTATTATCCATATTAGTTATAAAACATTCAGAACATTGAATGAGTGGCTAAAATCGTCACCACCTGTAATTATATACAGTGAGTTGTTGGCAAACCTGTGGTCATTATGCTAGTCTGACCAACCTCTTATATTCCTGGGCATCTTGAACTCGAAATCTCTTTACCTTTTATAATCTAACTAACTTTAAAATTCATAGACTTGTCCATCTCCATCTTCTAATCTGGTCATGACTATTCGTCATTTTTAGTAAAAATTTCAAAATAATTATGTACTAACTGAATAACAAAAGTTGTGTAGACCATGATTGCATTGGTTACATAGATTCTAAGACTCAGTCGCAGTAAACAGGTTTTATCAGGTTAAAGTCTTTTAAAATTCCAAATTGAAAGAAGTTAAGACAAGTCCAATACATAAGTTCAGTACATGTATATAAAATATGAAATTAAATCTCATAATGTATGAGATAAACATATCCCATGATTAAAATATTTTTCCTGGAAAATAATAGACATTATTCCCTGAAAGTTATCAATGTTTCCTCGGAACAAGAATAATTTAAATTATCAATGAACATCAGAGATTAAGTAGCTAAATATTACATTCAACCATAATGTCTTAATTTCTTTTTTTTTAAAAATTTATCAATCTAATACTCGGATCAGTCTAAATTAATTAACAACCTATCATTAACATACTTTCAAGAAGATATTTCTTCTTCTCTCGAATCAATATTAAGTCATGCTTTTAAAGTGCAACTATTTAAGATGATTTGAACATATTGCCCTGAGGTTATCAAAACTTTTATATTCTGTATGTGCTTAGGAGGAAAAAACCCTCTAAACATTTTTGACATCTCTGATGATCATTACTAATGAGAGAGAAAATAAGTATTCTTCTTGCTATTTCTAAGAATTTGACATATATATATTATAACAGGATTTCAGTACCATATACGGTAATAATTATAAACTACTAAAATGCCCATCACATTCCACTGTGTTGTCAATCTACACATAGACAGCATGGATGCAGGACGGTGTGATAGACAGAAAAGGGAAATAATATATTATGTGTAGATTTCCAGTCAACAATTTATGGGCATGGCTTAAAGTTAAATGCTTGCTTTTTAAGTGTTATAAAGTAAATTTTTGTTATGGTAAAACAAAGTGAACTTTTATGAAATAACATTTATTAAATACAATTAATGATTGTTGTTTTTAGTAAAATGAGCAATGACCTTGATGGTTTAGTAATGTGTTGTGTATCCTCGTGAATGTGAATTAAGTCATTATATTATTTTTAAACCTGTGCTTGCACCAAGTGATTCCTAGACATTGCCATCCGGTGTGTATATAGTCCAGCTAGCCTTAGACTCTTTACTGTTGGTAGCTCAATTTTTCAATTTTAATATTAAAATCCCTTAAATTTGAAGAAGTGTATCAAATTCAAAAGCAACTGTGAGTTTCTTCTTTAATGTCAGCAAAATTGACAGCAATATTTATTGAGTAACTTCATGTTTTTATCAAATGACTAACAAACTGCCTTGCCTTTTTAAGCAGACCCTTCAAATGGTGAAAAAACTTCACTTTTTTCACTACATTATACTGACCATGCTGTGAAGAAAGATTGAATATTTGAAAACTTGTGCACACATTGTACCTTACATGCAAAATACCCAAACAACACATATACCCCTACACATATACCAGAATGTATATGTAGTGTGAGGATAATTAGTATAAAAAAAATGTGCTCGTTTAACATTCATCTAAGTTATTTCCTTTTTAATTTTGGGTTCTGAAAATCCTTCACCTTTCACAGAATTGCATGTCACCAGGAATAAGTCAGGGTGCTGTTGTCTTAATTCACTAATTCAATAAAAGATCATGATAAATAAAACTCAAGCCTTCATGAAAAAACATCTCTTATTTGCTATTAGCTATAATTCTGCAGATAAAAAGATACATATGAGCCGAGCCACGACTAAACCAACATAGTGCGTTTGCGACCAGCATGGATCCAGACCAGCCTGCACATCCGCGAAGTCTGATCAGGATCCATGCTGTTCGCTATCAGTTTCTCTTCTTGTTATATGGTTTGTAAGCGAACAGCATGGATCCTGATCAGACTGCGCGGATGCGCAGGCTGGTCTGGATCCATGCTGGTCGCAAACCCATTATGTTGGTTTTGTCATGGCGCGGCTCATATGTATTATACAAAATACAACTTTTAACACAAAAAAGAAACATCTTTTTCACATAAAATATGGTGAAGAATTTTTTAAAAAAAGAGCTTTTCGAAAAAATAAAAACAAACAAAAAATTTTCCCCTAACATATAGCTTACATTACTTATTAGTTACACTGTGAAACAATTTATACTGTATATTTAAAAATAATGCAGTTCTGATAAAACCTTTCTTTTAGTTTATCATCAACCTAATTGCAAAGAAGATAATGTGCATATTGCATCAACCTGACTATTATGTGTGTGGACCCATATACCAAAATTCCAGGGATGCTTATCATTAATTCAACAACTTGGTGCATGGTCAAACCTTGTATTATAATGTGATATTAAATAATGTATAATTTAGGCTTCTTCTTCTTCCTCTTCTTCATGTACACTTTCACTTTTCTCTTTTATCACAGATTTCTCACTCTTTGATTTCTTTGAGCTGCCTGATTTCTTTAAATAATAAATCAACTTAATTTATTATCAATTAATTTTCATTGTTTTCAAAATGACCATTTTTTGTATATTTGAATATATTATGAATGTCAGTTTATCAATTTAAATGTCTATATAAATCAATAAATGTTATCTATTCTTTGATATTGAGAATGACATGTTTTTCATCCCCTGGGTAAAATAGACCTCTGCCTGTATATTGGTACATGTAGTCTGATCAAAAAACACAATTTTAGCCTCTGGAATACAGAAACCTGAATTGTCAGGATATTTCCAAGTTATGGTCCAGAGCATTTTGGGCTTTATAATAGAGTTAAATTACTGTACAAGGCAGGGCAATAAAAAAACATTTTAGCACTGAAAAGCACTGGTATTTTACAGAATTTAGAATCAATTTTGACTTTTCCAGTAAATTGAGATACAGGATTTATTGTTTTACTTAACCAGTAAAGTTAATTTTAAGTCAGAATTAAACACTTCTTGTTTAATATGCAAATGGTTTACAGATAGCTAGTGTAAAACTTTCTTTTGAAATAAATTATGTTTTTCCAGTGTGACCATATTTATTTGATATTTTAGTTTGTTATATTATTGTTAAATGATAATAAAATGTCAAAATATTATGTTGTTGAAAAAAAAACTTCACTTATTTTACCAATCAGATTTTGTTTGATTAAGGTACCTGTGAGCGAGTGAGTCCACTGTCATACAGAGTTTCTCCCCTTGTTAGTCCAGGAAGTTGCTAAAATAACAGCAGTTTTGTACAGTCATATTTGAAATAATGTTTTTATCAATTAATTTGCACAGTGATAATAAAATAATTTAAGTCTATAAAATGTATTCAATTATGCTTTTGTATTTTATATGAACATGAATAAAGCAATAATTTAATACTGTGGCACAAATATAGTTTGAACGATTTTTTTTTAAACTAAACATATCAAAATGTTTTTGGTATACCCATATACCAATTTAACAAAAACATCTGTATAATATGTTATTTTTAGTATGTATAACATTTTATTTGAATTATTTTTGACATTTTCATATTTTTTTGTTGAACTGGTCTTAAAAATATAATTCATGCATAAATTTATACTGGTTTTCTTTAATGCAAAGTGCAAGGTTATGAATTTACAGTGTAAAAAATAAGTGTTCATTTATTCTTACAGCAAATTCCTGTAAGTTGTAGGAAAAAAATCAAATACCTCACAATTACCCAGATTATACTGCACAGTAAAAAAGGTAGAAGTTCATTATTCAGAGATTTTGAAAAAGCCCAAGATATGCAGCAATACACCCTGAGTGAAAAATGCACAACACCAAAATGAAAGATGTATTTAGTGCTTTTATAATTGTTCCAATTTTTTAAGATATAGATATTGCAGACAGTGTCAAAATATTATAGAATTTTGAATAAAAAATATTTAATAAATGAACAGTGTACATACAGACTGTTACTTATTATTTCTATGTACATCAATGTATTTTAATTAACCTTTATTAGTCACTAAAAACATTTTAATAGACTTATCTACCATGATAAGGGATATAATAGAAACTGTGCATGATAAAAATTAAAATAGAAACCAATTTATTCCATGAAATTTAAATGTAAAACAGATCATAATTTATGTGACAAAAAAACAAACTTTTTGACCAGAAATAATTATGCAGAAAATATTATATAACCGAAGTGTTTTTTATGGAATGAGATGATTGTAATATGGATCCCAGTTTTAATAGTTTAATGACATAACTGAAATAATTGCTGTAGTATAATGACAGGATTGTAATGTGAATTATTGACAATCCTAACAAGACCCACATTTTTCACTATTGAACATAGAAGAACCAAAAGTTTGTGTTATTATGCTATAAAATCACTGTTGACATTCTATATTTAGACATGTGACGTAATCATTATATACATGTATTATACCCATTAAAAATGTGAAAATAAGTACTGAAACAAATCAGGCGCAAATTAGCTGAATATCAGATACGGAAGCATTTATTTGTTGATGTTGTGTTAGAATTGAAATAATATATCCAAATCGGTGATTTTATCGCTTGATATAATCACTGTTTGTCGTTCCAAAACTCAGGAATGTCAATCTGAGAATTATGTTTTTTATGACTTTATGAAAAATATTGTGAATCATGACTATTTCATAATGATATATGTAGTTAGTTTCATGATTGACAAGTGCAAGATGTGTACAATGAATTCTTGTGTAATTTGATAAAAAAAACAACATTACTTTTATCACAACATAAATATCATATTAATTTTAAAGAATTAGCGGTGCAACATTGACAGACTGATGTGACGTGCTGTGGACTTTTTGTGACTTTTATAATACCTTTCCATATGGTGAATTTTCAACCGACATTGTCCTCTGTCGATCACCTTGTGTGAAGGTCTTTGATCGATTCAAAGATGTCCGACTCACATTGGTGTTCTATATGATTGCATAGCAAAAGAATTATCATTTCTGTTTGGCATTAATAGCACCATTTTGTAAGTATTACCTAAGTATAGCTGATCATATCAGCTGATACATAAGCAAATTAGCCCCTTTTCTTTCAGGAAACTTCTATTACTTTTTTAAACATTGAGGAAGCTAAATAATATTCAACCCTTCCTTTAAACTTGACTACGTTCTGCTGTTTATAAATTTCATCCATTCTCTGTTCAAAGTCGTACTTCAAAAGGTAGAGCTACCATTCTACCATCAGTTGGCTAGATATCTTACTTGAAAATTTACAATCAATTCATCAGAATGATGACTAATTTTTCCAATTTGGCTACTGCCATTTACAAACATTTGACTTTTCAATTCATGTTTATAGAATCATAATTTAAAACTCACTTGTTTTTCATCTATCCACCAGTCCTTGGGGAAGTGGGAGATACTGTCCATGAAAGCTTGATTCTCCTCCCATTCTTGTTGCCACTTGGTGGCGCTGTACTCTGGTTTTCTCATCATGATACGCTTCAATATTGCCTGGTTCTCTTTAGTTACCCTTAGTAACTCTCGTTGACGTTTCTCTCTATTCAAACTGTTTAAATGATATGGCAAATAGTCTTAGTTAATACCAGTTTATACAAAAAGAAAGGTAAATTAAGATAATATTGCATTGGTTTGTTATATATTTTAATCACCAGGGTTTGAACCCTACTCAGATCATGATCTAACACAAACACTGGTTTAAGTTTTATAAGCAGACTAATAAATAGTGATGATGAATATTAAGGTTGCAAAAACAATTAGGATAGAGTCTGGTCAAATTATATGTATTCATACAGAATTACTTGTTCTGAACTGATTTTAAACTGCATTGTGATAATGGGCATATTAATATCAATTACCCTTTTAGAAAAAAATCTCACCTCTTATATTCGTAATTATTTCTATTATCTACACGTCCCCTAGTTCTCATGATGTAAGACATTTTCTCCAGCAGGATACGGTTGTCACGCTCTATGGTGGCCAATCTTTCCTCCTCAAGCTGAAAAATATAAATGCAACATAATGAATATATATATACAGTCATGTTTATATATTCAAAATGTAATGGATAAAATAGCGGAAAAAAAAGAATGAAGCGATGCCACTTCCAATTTACATTGTAATAATTTATCAGGAATTTTTTTAACCATTTTAAGAATGGGGAAAAAATCTACTGGTTTCACCCATAAGAGGGTCCTGATACAAACTCTGTGCGCTTAAGTTACTTAAAGTAGCTAATCCTGTAAGGGGAGATCACTATGTGGGAAATTGGGTCCTGATATTCAAGATAATGACATAAATAACGTCCCTTGGTAAAGGTGTTAAATAAAACATATTTTATAATTATACAAGCATTAAGAGAAAACAGAAAATGATAAACATCTTTCTGGGAGAATCACTGATATACATGGTGCTGTCATAGTGATGATGATATTTAGTACAAAAGCATGTAAAAATTAAATGAAATTTTAATAATGACAATAAAAATGACTTTATATTATCTTTATTTGTTTCCAATCATTCTCTCGATTTAATTCATTTAAATTCCTTATGTGTTTTATCAATCAATTTACATAACAAAAAACTGTTTCAAATTATACAGTCTGAAAGTTACTGCATGAAATTAACATGCATTTTCAAATGCATGTTTAAATTACATTAGACCTTTTTACCATATCTGTCCAAGCTGCACTGATTTCAGAAAAGCCTGAAACACTCCATTATCAAAATGTTAAAATTATATAACCAACAGATGTTCAAGCTGACATTTCTTTATTGTGTGCAAGTAGTTTTAAAAGAGGGTTCATAATGGAATGAAAAGTTTCAATTTAAAATAAAACATGGAATGTAATTCTTAATTGCCGTATATAATTAATATTCACTTTGAAAATCAAAGTTACTTAATTTTTTTTTATCAAACATTATGATGAAAAAGTCTTAAATAGAATATTTAGCTCAGTTTGGTTTATAACTATTTTCTTACAATAAAAGCATTAAACATGCAGAGAAAAAACAAAAACAGTTTGTTTTTTTGTTTTGTTTTTTTTATCAGCAAAAAATGTTCAACTACAAATTTAAAATAAAATTCAAGTCTCAGATGGTTTATAAATTAAAATAAGAGCCTTTAGGTATGTAATGTTATAAATTGTGTTCAATTTAAGAAGTGTTTTTTTTTTAAAGAAATTAGATATATCATAAGGCATGATTTTACACAAACTGTCATCTTTTATTTAACAGCGATCAATACAGAACCATCAATATCACATCACAATCAAACATACACTTGAGATTCCCAAAATGGTTTAGCAAAATAAAATCTTTAAATGTCAATAATTGAAAGGTTTAATGGGAATGTGTAGGTAAAATTCTCTATTTGAATGGTATGCAAATAAAACACCTCCTAGTGGGTTTAACATGTTTTACACTAATGTACGATTAAACTGTGGAGTGTTTGTTAATTTTCAATTTGAAATGTCAGTAAAATTTTGTTTGCAGTTTTACAGCTTTATTTATAAATCATTTATTGGAAGAAAATAGAGGATATTCAAGTTTTTTCTATATAAACACAGGATTTATTTTTATCGAGTGGTATGAAAATATCTATTTCGTGAGTGGCAGTAGTCATTAGTGAAATTTGATAATTTTCATATCACAAGATGAAAAAACTTGAATGTTCTGTTTAATACATACTTCTTATATTTTTTGACCTTACAATTCTAAAAAATTCTCCTTAAGTTTTGACTTTTGTGTATTTGCGGAGTTAAGAAAAAATATTCCTGCCTTCTCTTTTAATTTTGTATTTTGGCTGAATTAAGAAAAAAGTAGTCCAACAAGACACCAGTGAAAATACAGAAAATATGTTTCACTGCAGTGAAAAATAAATTTTTACAGTAAAAATTTGGAAAATATGCATTTTTTTATCAATATATTTCTCAATATTTTATTTATAAGTATATATCAGAAACATTATTATTGCTTATATATTTTGTTCTAAGTTCTCCGGTTGCAATGATTTTATGCTATTCATAAACATCTTAAAGACATTTTAGCAGATAACTGAGAATTTTTTTAATGTACATCCTTTAAATTTTAACAATTTTCACACATTTCTTTATTGAAAATAAAACTGATAGCAGTTGATGAGATGTTACTCTATGGTATCTGTAGCAAATAATCAATTTGGCACTTAAATAAGTTACAACAGTTTTAATAAGTTTATCACGGTTTTCATGCTCTGTAATAAACTTGATCTGCCGCGAGAGGTTCAGTCATCTCCTCAATAATCCAACAATCAATATACCGTAATAAGTCTGATGTTCATTTTTATTGATTTAACTACAACCTTTATTGGAAATTAGGAATGAAAGCAGAAATGTGTTAAAGCCATAAATTTTCCATCATGAACAGTTTGTAATCTATAGCACATTTATTGGAAGATAAAGTCTCTGAAGAAATTATATTACATATTGTAAAGTGGTTCACTATACAAAATGTACATTTAAATGGGGTTAATGGAACCTTTTTTGATATTTCAGTTACAAAGATAATGTTTTTTTGTACTGTAGTAAAAATGAAAAGTGCTGAATCAGCAAGAACAATTCAAATTAAACAAAAACAATGCAGAGTGCAAACTACAAATCTGATATTTCTACATTGAAATTTTGACATTCATTATAAAAGTTCATAAGTTTGAGGAACAATTTAGTTGCAATTTAATTATTTCAATTTATTTTTCAAAACTTGTTCTTGTTTTATTATATTATAATAATCTTGTTTTTGTTTTTAAGGAGATCTCTGAATGTAATCCATTCTTCATAAATATATACAGGCAATATAGAATAATGCTGAAGTATTAAACTCTATACAACACCAAATATCTTAAAAAAGACTTGTCCATCTTTTATATAATTATGGCAAAAACCATTTATCATTTATAGGGAATATTTCAAAAATTCAATTTTTTTAAATGATTGTTATTCCTGAATTTAAGACTGGTATTTATTGTAAGACATTAATAATTGCAATTTTCAATTTTACTAAAAGAATAAATCTTATTTATCAAAGTTTTTTTGACAGTTATGCACATGATATAAATTAGCAAATAATTGCTATAGAAATTAGGGTTTAAAATTTATAATAAAGATTTGATTAAGTGTTAAGGTTGATTAATTTGAACATGTCTGAACAGCTGACCATTATTGCATTTATGAAATGCCAGAATGTATATATTTAATTGTATATATCAAAACGTGATATTAAATATTCATTGTGCCCTGTTGAAATAAAAAAACTAGTATAATAAGAAATAATAACAAACTCCATAATTTCAATTTTGGAAGCGCTTTGAATGCCTGAACATTATGCTTATGATTTTTTTCTCTCCATATATAAATAAAGATGTGCCAAAAGCTAGATTAAATAACCCAGGTTACAATATAGTTACCGTAACCTGCAAAATTATCATTCAAGAAATTTCCATATTGTAAAGACAGGAAAATAATATGTGCAAATAAATGTCCACCTTTATTCTTTTGTTAATTCAATGTACATGTACCTATATGGGTTAAATAATATTGTACATAGGCAAAGGCAAAGAAAGAAAGCAGAAGATTAAAGAGTTGACCTATTATATTTTTGACATTCTATTCTTTTATAATGACATTGATTGTATTGACACATAATGCAGTAAAAGCAAAAGGAAATTGTAATTGAATAGAATTTTATGAGACTCAAGCTAGGCTCATTTCCGTTAAAATGTGGATAGAAGAAACTTGAAACACCAATCAATGGAATATAATTATGTAAATTCCATAAATCAATATAAGATTCCCGAGAATTTCAAAGCAATTAATGGAATATGACAGGGTTAATCAATAATTTAATTAATCAATACATAATCTATGAAGATAATAACACTTAGTCTGTTGGGGGCAATAGATTTGATCTATCGGACCAGTGCTGACTCCATGGCAACTTCATTTAACTCAATAATAATATAAATTGATTATGATATTTTTGTAAATTATATTATTCCGAGAAGATATAACCATTAAAGCTTCTATCCTACACATTGTAGTTTGGGCGTTTTTGAAATAAAATGTCATCAAAAGATATAATTTCACCACAGACTCCTACATTTATATGGAACAAGATGATTAGTTACATGTTTTGTCAGATGAAAAAAAAACATCTCAGTAAAGTTATTGCAATGTTTATCATGCTGAAAGCTTAAACCGTTGCAACATTTATTTTGTAAATATTGACTAAAATGATAAACACACCTGTTAATTGTTTGCACGTAGATTTATTGGTTGAGGGTAGAACAGTTGTGGGCCTGTTAAGTTTTTTTATCCTGCAATCAATTGCTGCACAAAATATCATTGAAGAACATGCTTTTTTTGCATTCAAGTGACATTAAATACATGTCAAGTTTCACAGTTTAGCAGTGAGAATCACTCTGTTTCTAGTCTAATAATGGCCTTTGATGCACACTGATTCAGTTATATATCTCATGTATTTCAATGAAAATATTAAATGCACAAAATAACCCTTATGGGTAAAATATGAGTGGTGACACATATGGGGTCCATACTAGATAGTGAAAGTTGCTTTCTGTGCCTGACTGGGCAAATAGACCCTAGTTCTTTAAGCTTAAAACTCATTCATTAGTATCTTATATATACCTGTAATTTTTTTAGTTTCAAATGAAGATGCATATATGTTGCTGGTGCTTTTGTGTCTACCATAGGCTGGGCTTCCTTCACCTGTTAATTACAAAATAAAGCAATATAATGACATTTTGTGCAATCTTTACATACTGTACTGTCAATGACAGAGAGATTTGCTCATCATTCCAAAGAGTAAACAATAACAATTCAAATGAACAATTTGTTTAAACTTATCTATATATATTCATCATCCAATATATCGTGCTTCATCATCGTATTTCTCCACTAAGTTATAATATCATTAAAGCAAATACCATTATGGTTAAATTGAAGAGCATCTGAGAATAAATCATTCTTAGCTTGACACAAATTTAGCCCCATTACAATAAAGCGATGTGACATTTTATAAATTTCAATACATGCATGAATACCTGCCAAGTTGAGATATAGTACATGCTGGTATCGCCCAGACTTAACCATACATCATTTAAATAATAAGCAGTGATATATTTGAATTAACAAAAAAGATGGATATCCATGTATACCATGCTAATTATTAAACTGAATCAAAGCCAAAACAAAACATGTTGTTTTTTTTTGTCAATAAACTTTGAATACCATTTTAACTTGTACACATACATAAAAAACATGATTATGTATATTTTGTCTACTGAAAATGAAAAATAAAGACAAATTAAAGTTTTAATGTGTTATTCTTGTGTACATGTGTATTTATAATTATTTAAAACTAATAAAATGTCTGTGTGTATTTAATTACTGGTTTAAACACATCCTTGATAACACAGTGTAATCAAAAACCTATAAGTATTTATTAATACTAACAGCAAATATTTGAACTGGTAAACAGTAGCAATACAGTAGGTGGGGTAACAAAACTTACCAGTCTTCGGTGCTCTTTGTAGTACGTTTGATCCCATTTCATTTGTAAAAGTTTATTACTGGATGGTAAAATACTCTGGTAAGAGCGGAACATCCTAGTATTCCCCGTGCTATGCATCTTTTCTGATATTAAATTCACTCACAACTGTCCTTTTTCAGTCTATCACTGTAAACCTAGACACCTGTGTATATTATTGTACAGGTAACTGAACCACGTGATCAAGCGCGACGGATCTCCATAACGACGTTCCGAAACTATACGGAAACAGTCGATTTATCCCGTTCAACTCCGGTAATTCCCCGATAGACACATGATAAGTCCATGAGTTGAGATAACTGTAATTTTCTATTCTAATGAATGGTATTCGAGTTGCCTCCCTTAATTTATCTTGTAACAAATTTTTGTGTATGCTAAGAATATAAGTTGTCATGACATTTTAGTTAACCCATTGCTTCATGAGCATTTTGTGAAAAATGGCTGTTTTCATTGAAAAGTCTCCCGTTACAAGTTCAAATTGCTATAATACTCTAAAAACTGCTTCAACACTAATCAAACTTGGCACAAATGTTGACTGGACCATTGTCCTTGCAACAACATGCTCAGACTTAAATTTTCTGTTACCATGGCAACGAGGGGACATCTCAAAATTGCCAAAAATCACTATTTTGCGTTGATTTTTTCCATCAAAATTGATTTCAAAGTGCTGCAACTTATCAATGGATTGAGATAGAGTCAAATGCTTTTCAGCGTTGGTTACACGTTACCTTATGATCAATCTGGGGTCATTTACAGCCTCTCACAAGTCCAAAATTTTCTTGGCGATGAGGGGGACTCCGCCCCCCTTCAAACCCCCCAAAACAGAAGGGGGCACATCCCCCTTCTGGCAACCCCCTGATGTATCTTTTGGTTGGGGGGCCGCGCCGAAAAAGAGGTCAATTTTTTTAACAACATTTCTCAAACAAAAACAAGTGTTTGGGGCCTAAATAAGGCATTTTTTCATCATTTGAGACAACAAAAAAGGGGGGGGGTGAAAAAGGCGTTAAAAGGCGTGTATATGAAGTAATGGGTTAACTGAAAATGATGAAAATACTTGAAATTACCCTAAATCGCGTTTTTTCATGTTTAAACATGGCCTGTCATATAAATTTGAAGAAAAATTGTTGTTTTGTAGATTTTTTTATTTTTTTCATTAACCCATTGCTTCATGAGCATTTTGTGAAAAATGGCTGTTTTCATTGAAAAGTCTCCCGTTACAAGTTCAAATTGCTATAATACTATAAAAACTGCTTCAACACTAATCAAACTTGGCACAAATGTTGACTGGACCATTGTCCTTGCAACAACATGCTCAGACTTAAATTTTCTGTTACCATGGCAACGAGGGGACATCTCAAAATTGCCAAAAATCACTATTTTGCGTTGATTTTTTCCATCAAAATTGATTTCAAAGTGCTGCAACTTATCAATGGATTGAGATAGAGTCAAATGCTTTTCAGCGTTGGTTACACGTTACCTTATGATCAATCTGGGGTCATTTACAGCCTCTCACAAGTCCAAAATTTTCTTGGCGATGAGGGGGACTCCGCCCCCTTCAAACCCCCCAAAACAGAAGGGGGCACATCCCCCTTCTGGCAACCCCCTGATGTATCTTTTGGTTGGGGGGCCGCGCCGAAAAAGAGGTCAATTTTTTTAACAACATTTCTCAAACAAAAACAAGTGTTTGGGGCCTAAATAAGGCATTTTTTCATCATTTGAGACAACAAAAAAGGGGGGGGGGGTGAAAAAGGCGTTAAAAGGCGTGTATATGAAGTAATGGGTTAACAGAAAATGATGAAAATACTTCAAATTACCCTAAATCGCGTTTTTTTCATGTTTAAACATGGCCTGTCATATAAATTTGATGAAAAATTGTTGTTTTTGTAGATTTTTTATTTTTTTCATTAACCCATTACTTCATGAGCATTTTGTGAAAAATGGCTGTTTTCATTGAAAAGTCTCCCGTTACAAGTTCAAATTGCTATAATAATATAAAAACTACTTCAACACTAATCAAACTTGGCACAAATGTTGACTGGACCATTGCCCTTGCAACAACATGCTCAGGCTTAAATTTTCTGTTACCATGGCAACGAGGGGACATCTCAAAATTGCCAAAAATCGCTATTTTGCGTTGATTTTTTCCATCAAAATTGATTTCAAAGTGCTGCAACTTCTCAATGGATTGAGATAGAGTCAAATGCTTTTCAGCGTTGGTTACACGTTACCTTATGATCAATCTGGGGTCATTTACAGCCTCTCACAAGTCCAAAATTTTCTTGGCGATGAGGGGGACTCCGCCCCCCTTCAAACCCCCCAAAACAGAAGGGGGCACATCCCCCTTCTGGCAACCCCCTGATGTATCTTTTGGTTGGGGGGCCGCGCCGAAAAAGAGGTCAATTTTTTTAACAACATTTCTCAAACAAAAACAAGTGTTTGGGGCCTAAATAAGGCATTTTTTCATCATTTGAGACAACAAAAAAGGGGGGGGGGGGTGAAAAAGGCGTTAAAAGGCGTGTATATGAAGTAATGGGTTAAATCTCATATGGTTTTAAATTAACAAATAAACCCTTAAAATATATATCAGATGTACCAATTTCAGCCGCATAAAATGGTCATACTTGTGTCCTGGGAAAATAACAGCATTTTTGAAAACTTTACAAATCAATTGAAGTCAATATTCTTCTGGCAAAAATGCACCTTTTCTGTATTGTTAAATAATTAATCATGGTATAATGCCTCAGAAATGCTATCATTTTTATTTTTCAAAATCGTTTTATTTTTGTTATCTTTACAGTTTCCAAATGAAATACTCAATCGTCATTTAGATATATTTTGCTTCCTTTTGCTCTGTTGGCAATTTGTATAATTAAAGTGAATGGAAGTAAAAATACTTCTTTGCTTACATTTTGCTACATTGACGACAAATAACTGCATGTTCAGTGCTACTTACTTCAGTTGTTAAACATCAAATATGCTCTAAATCTACTGTAAAACATAATTAAACACACGTTGGCATTTCTATAGATTAAAAAAGCACGGATTTCTGTGACAAACTATGCCTTTAACGTTTATAAATATATTTTCAGTTCAGTAACAGTTAGTAAATTTCATGGTGCTTACCATTTACAATTCAATAACATTTGAATCCATGTCACTTTCTATTCACAGTTCAATGACATTTGAATTCACGTCACTTTCTACTCACAATACATTTGAATTCCAGACGCTTTCTAGTAAATTCAATGACATGCATTTGAATTCTAGACGCTTTATTTAAATTAAAAATGCAATGACGGCGCTCTCCTAATGAATCCATTGACGATTAAATAACATTTGGACGGATCAAATTTTTGTTGAATAAAGAGCAAGAAACAAATATAGTTACTTACTTAATAACCGATAACATTTTGCTCAAACTATATACTAGTAAAGTTAATTCATTATATCATGGAGCTTTATATTTAATAAAAGTCTCCTCTTTATTTCATCTTACATGAAAACTTTAACTTTAATCTACAAACTAAAATGATAATTTATTTATAATATTGTAAGCTTTTTTGCATTAATTACGAATAAGGACCTCAATGAGTAAACAATTATATTATCTTATCATATTAATTATATGTCAAACGGTTAACTTTACCGGATACTATTCAAAATGTCTTTACAGTCACTAACTGGAGTGAATTTAGAGAAGTAGTCATGTTATAGTCAATGCTCTCCTGGCAAAAAATATATGAACATATTTTTTGAGAGTTCCCAATTTACAACCTGCCATGCTTTATTCCGTTTGTTCAATATTGAGGTATCTCAAGAAATGAGGAATGAAGAAAACTTTAAATGTAAATTACATAAGTTTATTAAACAACAAAATTATGTGAATAAAGTGCAACATGACTGATTCATTTGTAATAATCTATGTACAAAATAACAAGATCATTCAAAGGCATATTATGCATCACAAAGGCACATTATGCAATAAACGTTTTCTTCTTTAGAAAGAGCCCACATTAGTTGTTTTTTACATTTAAATAATGGTTAGACGAAAGTAGAGTTGAATGTGAAATTATTTGTCATAAAATTAGCTAAATGTAAACAAATTAGTATTTTGAATAACATAAAAAACTAAATCCCTTTATCTGTATTAATTTCCAAAAAGCAACAAGAGCAAAAGTTACTTCAGATAATTAGCCAATGAGTACGTGTTTGATAAATATAAAACAAAAAAAACAAAAATTAAAGCTTTTAAGAATAGAAAAATAAAGCATTTTTGGACATAATTAACAATGTGTAAAAATGAAATGAAATAAAAGTATATTAACAAAATAAAAATGAACACACATGCACACGTACTAATGAGGGCACGTTTTTATGGTTCAGTGAGGACACTGGTTTGCAATTCAAAAAAAAAAGCGCGCGCACACACACGCACACATGCGCGCACACATGCGCGCACACACGCACGCACACATACAGAGGAAAAGGGACACAATAATAACTGTTGTTATCTGAATATAATACGTACACCTTATACTGTTTTGCACAAGTGCATTAACGTTCTTGTATTCTGGTTGATATGGAATATATATTCAAAATTATTACTGTGACACTAATTTTTTTTTTAATAAACTTGAATCATAATGTTAAAGGAGCCATTAATGAGAATGTGATATGTAACGTAAATAAAGAATTAAACATAAGTTCAGCAATAATTCTCAAAATCATAGTTAATATATGCATGTCTCAGAACAAATTTCATTGTATGGTAATGTATATGTGGTTTTCCTCATACATGATAACACAACATTTTATACTGGACGCTTCCATTTCAACTACGAATGTTCACACTTTGAGAAGGTGCAAAAGACACATGCATATATTACATGCAGTCCATGGGTAGTCGGTAAAATGAGTTTCAAAGGTAATTTTAGATTCAGAGATTGAATATTTGCACGTATGCTGTTTCTGCACACAATAGAGCAAATTTGGATTAACAGATGCCCAGTAGGAGAAAGAATTCTTTACCATTTGATGATATTAAATTGTTTTTCAAAATGTCTCTCTTGCACACCGACCTTAATAATATGTTAACATTATTTGCGTCGAAAAAACAACTGACCACGGTTTCTTTAATGTCCAATGACTACATATTTAACATGTTTACATTCAAGAAGAATGCCACGAAAGAG